ATTAGTCAAAACTACTATTGGTTATAACTACTAATAGTCAAAAACTACTATTATTCAAAACTGCGATTAATCAAAACTACTATTAGTAAAAAACTACTATAAGTTCTAACTACTATTGGTTCTAATTAATATTAAATAAAGCTACTATTAGTCAAAACTACTATTAGTTATAACTACTATAAGTTCTAACTACTATGAGTTAAAGCTACTAGTAGTCAAAAAGTACTATTGATTCAAAGTACTTTTGGTAAAAATTACTATTAGGCAAAACTACTATTGGTCAAAACTACTATTGGTTGTAACTACTATTGGTTATAACTACTATTGGTTAAAACTACTATAAGTTCTACCTACTATTGGTTTCAAACTACCATTGTTGCAAATTGTATTGGTTCAAATTACCTCTGGTACATAATTTTTAATAGGCTCAAATCACTAATTTTGGGTGATTTTCAAAATAGTTTTTTTAATTGTAATTTAGAAAAGTGAAATTATTAAATTATAAATGTTATAGAATAGCTTTTGAAATAAAAATGATAATTATTATTATTTTCTTTAAAGAAAGTGACGCAGAATGTTTACATTAACATTTTTTTTTTGAAACAGATTCACCAAATCGTATACGTAGACATATTAAGCATCAGTCAGTTATAAATTCTCTTTTCTTAAAAAGGAAACATTTCTAAAAGTGGCACTCTTGTACGCGATTGTAAACGAAGGACTGTTTATGTCTTTCATATTGTGATTTGAATACATATTTCTTTTTTTACACCTATACGTATAGACACTATATTGCAAAGCAAATCTCGGACATTGTTTTTTTTTTTTTTTTTTTATTGTTCATATTAAAGTTGCCTTTATGAACGCATGATTTATTATGTCCCCTCTTGATGTGTGAGAACGTGACAAAATGTATAATACATTATACGCATACTTTGATAATGTATACATCGCACATTGTCATTATTTCTTGGTATACATAAGAAATGAACTTGAGCAACGCGAACAATAGTTCCCATTACTTTTACAATATCTATATATAAAGAAGAACTCAAGCTAAAATAGTAAAATTTTTCTCCTGATTTTCGAAAGTGGCGAAATATTTATAATAAAAAGGGAAAAAAGGAACATTGTCTTTTATCTTAACTTTTACTTTTCTTTATTTGTATTTTAATTTATTTTTAAGTTTTCAAATGAATTCCTTTTTTTTGTTGCACTTGAAAAGTAGTTTAATCCAATAGTAATTTTAACCAAGTGTATTTTGAACCAATAGTAGTTTTGAGCTATAGTATTTTGAACCAACAGTAGTTAGAAAAAAAAGTAGTTTTAATTAATACTAGTGTTAACCAATAGTAGTTTTTACTAATAGTAGTTTAACCAAATGTAGTTTTTATCAATAGCAGTTTAACCAATAGTGGCAATAGTAGTTGTTATCAATAGTAGTTTTCATCAATAGTAGTTTAAACCTATAATAATTTATCCAATAGTAGTTCCAACTTATAGTTGTTTAACCAATAGTAGTATGAACATATAGTAATTTATCCAATAGTAGTATGAACCTATAGTAATTTATCCAATAGTAGTTTGAACCTATAGTAGTTTAACCAATAGTAGTTTTGATAAATAGTAGTTTTGATTAATAGTAGTTTTTATCAATCGTGATTTGAACCTATAGTAATTTATCCAATTGTAGTTTGCACCTATAGTAGTTTAACCAATTTTAGTGTAACTAATAGTATTTTTGATCCATAGTAGTTTGAACCTATATCAGTTTAACTAATAGTAGTTTTTAGTAATAGCAGTTTGAACCCGTAGTAAATTAATCAATAGTAGTTTGAACCTATAGTAGTTTTGTGCAATAGTGGTTTGAACATATAGTACTTTAATCAATAGTAATTTTGAGCTATAGTAATTTGAACCTATTATAGTTTAACCAATAATATTTTGAACCTGTAGTAATTTTGAGCAGTAGCAAGTTTACCCAAAAATAGTTTTGAGCAATAATAGTTTTAACCAATAGTAGTTTTTTGTTCAATTAAGGATTTAACCAATAGTAGTTTGAACTTTTCAAGATCCAACCGGATTTTTCAAAAGCTTTTGAAAACGAATAGTGATATTTGCCACACTTTCACTTGGCAATTTTCTTTTCTTCTTCTTCTTCTTCTTCTTCTTCTTCATCCTTTTCTCTTATTCTTATTTATCTTCTTCTTCTTCTTCTTGTTTTATTTTAAAATATATTCTTCTTTTTTTCCTCAAGTCTTCAAGTTTTATTTATTTGTTTCTTCTTCCTTCCTCGACGCAAAACTGGGTCAGGTTCATAAAATCCAAGTGATGCTGCAACGTTGAGAGAGCAGGAAGAAAAGAGAGAAACTTAATGTGGCGATAAGTTCGGAGAACGCGCGTTCATTGATAGATCTTTTAGGTTTTGCGGTGAAAACAGCTGGTGGGACATTGACCGATCAAAAAGGATAAAATAATAATAATAATAATAAAAGCAACCTGCTTTTACACATATGGCGTATGCGATGGCGTAAGTTGTTGCTCTCACTCTATCTCTTTACACAAGGATTCTCTTTCACGGCCAAGTTGACAGAGAACGCCAATAAAATTCTCACGTTACGGTACAGTAAAAATACCGCAAGGCCACCAGCTTCACTCCATGAATACATGCGTTTTGTTTTTTATTTATTTATTTCTTCTTTTTTTTTTATGTTACATTTTTTCTTCTGTATCAACCATTTCTCGTAATGTGCTTCTTTTCTCTATATGCGACCCGCGCAACGGGAGTTCGTCCGCAGCTCCAACTTTTGAACCCGTATTTATACTATATAGACAATATGTAAGTGGAAAGCGATAAAACATAGTGAACCAGTCATTCAACATTGAACTGACAAACAAACCAATTGATCCGTAACTTTATAGAATCATTGCAAAAAAAAAATAAATTATATTGCCAAGTCGTCAATGACAAGTGTGGAAAATTTTATTATAAATCATTTGTATTCTCTAGATAGTATTAGTTCAAACTAATTTAACAAATATTATGTTAAAATGGTTAAAAATCATTTGCTAAAACTGCTATAAACTATTAACTACTATCAATTATAAAATACTAAAGACTATAAACTACAACGGTTTTTGTTCAAATTACCTCTGGTTCAAAATTTAACTTGGGTGAAATTGCCTAAGATTAAAAATACCACTTCAAACTAAATTGGTTCAAACTACCAAAGGTTCAAATTACCATTGTTTGAAACTACCATAGGTTTAAACTATCATCAGTTCAAATTATAATTGGTTTAAACTACTATGGTTTCAAAGAACTATTGGTTCCAACTATCATTAGTACAAATTGATATTATTGTTTCAAACTACTAGGGGTACAAACTGTCAATATTTAAAACTACCATTGTTCAACATTGTAATTGTTTCAAACTACCATAGGTTCAAATTTCTCTGGAATCGAACTATTATTTATAAAAATTACCAATTGTTCAAAGTACTGAAGTTTGAAATTATCTTTGATTCAAGTAACCATTTATTTAAACTACTATAGAATTTAAACTACCAAAGGTTCAAATTACCTTAGTTTTAAACTACTATACTTTCGAAGTACTGTGGGTTGAAACTATCATTAATTTAAACCATCATTGTTTCAAATTACTAAAGGTTCAAACTATTATCAGTTCAAATTATTATTGGTTTAAACTACTATTGTTGCAAAGTGCTATAAATTCCAACTATAATTAAATAAAATTACCATTGCTCTAAACTACTAGGGGTTCAAATTACCATGGCATTTAATTACTATAGGATCAAAATACTAAAGGTCCAAACTATCATTAGTTCAAATTACCATTGGCATAAACTACCAATGGCACAAAATACCATTGTGTCAAACTACTAAATTTTCAAACTACCATCAGTTCAAATTCTTATTGGTTCAAACTACTATTGTTCCGAAGTACTATGGATTTCAACTATCATTAGTTCAAATTAACATTGATTAAAACTAATAGGAGCTAAAACTACCATTATTTAAGTACTATAGGTTCAAAATTCTAAAGGTTCAAATTGTCATTAGTTCAAATTACGAAGGGCTTAATTTACCAAAGGTTCAAATTACCAATATTTCAAACTACCATAGTTTCGAAGTACTGTGGATTCAAAGTATCATTAATTTAAACTACCATTGTTTCAAAATACTAAAGGTTCAAATTATTATTGGTTTAAAGTACTATTGTTTTAAAGTACTATGGGTTCTAACTATCATTAATTAAAATTACCATTGCTCTAAACTACTAAGGGTTCAAACTACCATTGCATTTATTTACTATAGGATCAAAATACTAAAGGTTCAAACTATCATTAGTTCAAATTACCATTGGCATAAACTACCAATGGTACAAACTACCATTGTGTCAAACTACTAAAGGTTCAAACTACCAAAAGTTCAAATTATCATTTATTCAAACTACCATAGGTTCAAACTATCATTAGTTTATGTTCAAATGGTTTCAAATACTATAGATTCAAACTACAATAATTCAAATTATCATTGATTTAAACTACCAAAGGTTCAAATTACAATTGATTCAAACTACCGAAGGTTTAAACTACCATTGGTTCGTAGTAGTATGGGTTCAAACCAACCTTAATCCAAATTAACATAGTTTCGAAATACTATGGGTTCAAATTACCATTGTCTCAAACTACCATAATTTACTAAGAAAATTTCCGTTAAAATTATAAAGTTTTTTTTTATTTGCAAAATTTACAAATTATTTTTATTAAAAATTCAGAGAACTCCTTTGTCCGAATCTCTCTTAATTTCACCGTTAAAATAGTCTAGTTTTTTTTTTGTTATATCTAATGGAATATTTGCCATAGTCAATTAGTTACGGATATATTTCTGTTTCGGCTAAATGCCTTTAAAAATAAGTTAAATCGGAGGGGAAAAAAATAATTAATTATAATAAATCTGCTTTCTGATTTCATAGTTCTTAATGTTGCTGGTGGAAAGGCTCCGATGCAGTCAAGCAGTGCAGATGGAGGAATTCCACAACGTGCTGTCGATGGTAGTAGCGGTCAAATTTATTCACCACAAACATGTACATTGACAAGGGCTGAGCCAAGGCCCTGGTGGTATGTCAATCTTCTTGAACCCTACATGGTTCAATTGGTGCGACTCGATTTTGGCAAATCCTGCTGTGGTAAGTCTCATACCAAAAAAAATTATTTGAAATCAAAAATAGGTTAAATCTGCATTATAATTAGTTGGTAAAACAGATTTGACTGTATAGTCTGCATTATCATTAATCGGTAAAACAGATTTGACTGTATAGTTTTGTAAGATTTAACGAAAGATTACGATTTATATTAATTACATATTATTACATGTGCGTTTCTTGGTTATTAATTAAGAAAAAAATTTTTTTTTTTAATTATCTGTTGATTTAAAATTACCGATGAGTAAAACAAATTGATCTGTATAGTAAGCGTTGCAATCACGCGATGATTTTTACATGTTTTCAACTTTCTAAATAATATTGAAGGAAGATGAAATAAGTATATATGTAATATGAAGAGTCGTTAATTTTTTTGACATAATCTAGTTTTTTCTTGGCAATAAAAAGAAAGAAAAAAAATTATATATATATATATAGAATTACGGTAAAGCTTTTTAACGGTATAAACTGTCTAGCCTATTCTCTCTTGTTTCTATATTATGACGCTGATTATAATGACGCATAAGGATTTATATATATAATATAATATATATAAATAAGTGTTTGAAACAACTAGGTTTTACTATGGAATTTTCCCCCTTAGCACGAGCTCGTCATTTTCTTAATGAAAACACTTCAGCTTGTAACATTTTATTATGTCAAATACTAGTCGAGAAAATATAATATACATTAAACTATCATTATATAGTATGCACTTGGCCGACAGAAGTTATATTTTTATAATCGTTGCGCAAAAATTTATGTAATGAGTTTTACGAAAAAAAAAAAATCGTATTATAAACTTTTTTTATTGGTTAAATAATTTTATAATTTACCATAATTTATACAAAATTATTTTTGTTGTTTAAATAATTTTATAAATTAATAAAAATTTTAATAAAAATAAAAATTAAATAAAAATGAATGAAAAAAGTAAATAATTAAAATTAAATTTAAAAAATAGAAAAAAAAATAAAGAAAGTCATTTATGGATTTTTTTTTTTTTGTTTTATAATGAACGGGGGAAATAAAAATCGATTAACAATAAGAGAAAACCGTGCAAATTTTCAATTTAACGCCGATATTCATTGCACTTTTGATATAATAATGTATTTTGTGAAATGAAACAATGAGGTTGTGGAAAATTGATTCACTCTGTATTGATGTCAAAAGGATATATTATCTTGTCAGAATAATAATTGAAAGTGAATGGAAATCGCACTTGAATTGTTTTCGTTACGGTATTAAGCCGTCAATGTTAAATAAAAGAAGAGAAACATTATTATTAAAAGGTGTATCTTGAAAGATATATATATAAAACAACCTCTCTCAAGATTCTGCATTTGCCAAGGTCTATGTCACTTTTGCATGCAAATCTGTGGTTTTAGTTCGTTTTACTTTCTACCTTTTAATAATATAACTGAAATTTAAAAATTTTTATTTGTAGTAAATTTCTCACTACATTGAAAATAACTTTTTTTTTTCTAACTGAATTATTTTTTTTCGCTTTTTTATATTATTTTTTTTTCAATTTTTTCTTAATGTAAATTTAAATAATTTTAATTAATTAATAAATAATAATAAATAAACAATTAAAAAATAATTAATAAATAAAATAATTAATAAAATAATTAATAAAATAATTAATATAAATAATAATAAATAAACATTAATTTTTGAATTGCGAAAAATTGAATCTAAAAAATTTTCTCTTTTTGGCGAAATAATTTCATTGAGATTAAAAAAGCAAAAAAAAATTGTCTGAAATAATCGTAAACATTTATAAAATTCCCAAAGAAACTGTTTTCTCAAAGTTCAATTGAAGCAATTTCCTGGATGAATTTTTTTTTATTCACTCAATTCAGATAGTAGTTATGTAAAAACAAAATTAGATTCCATATCAAAGAGAACACGTTTCTTTCCCTCTTTTTTTTTTATTCATTTAAATTTAATGTTTTCAATAAAAAAAAAAAAAATTCAAAAAAAAAAATGAAGACGATTTCAGACTTTTAATGAAATGGTTCACTGAACGTATTTACAATTGACCTAAAATATTTTTTGTTCTAAAATTTTTTTTCTTTTTGAAAATAAAAAATATTCACTTAATTTTTTTTTTCAAGTCGTCACTATAGTCTATATGAATTTTTAAAGTCATCCTAATTTCAATCCTCTACTTTCCATAGTTATGGCAAATTGATGGCAATTTAACGTCGCGGATAGTCGATTTGAGAAAAGATCATCAATTGCAACGAGCCATGAAATCTCGTAATAAATTGAGAGCTCATCACTTCCAATATATATATATATATATATATATAGTATAGTAGATGAGCACGGCTTTCGCATGTTGCCACAAAAGTTTTAGAATTAGAAATTTTTCTCCTGTTTTTTTTTCACCGAGAGGAGAATAAAAGTGAGAATCTTTCACTTTCGATTTTGTTGAAATTTCTTTATTATTATAAACATTTTAAAATTCATGCACGCTCTTTTTACTGCAAGAGTCCCTTGACTTCTCACCATAAATCAGTTATATTTCATGAATGAGGGAAATTTTTTTTTTTTTTTTGAATTATAATAATAATAATTTTCCTTTACATTCGGAAACAATTTCTTAGAAAGTTATTATTATATCCATATGATTTGGTTTACATTATATTTTTGTGGCCTTTTTATCCCTATTTTTATTATTTTAAAAATAACTTACACTTTTTAATGTATACGTAATTTATTCTCTATTTTTCACTTTTTCTTTTATTTTTTATGTTCCTCAATACTGAACTCAAATTATCGGAAATTGCAGCGTAAAATTTTTTTTATATTCTAAATAAATAAATAATAAAAAAAAATTGTTTAAACTTTACAAAAAGTTGATATTATAATTTTCTAATTTATTTATTTAAAAATTTATTAAATAATTTTTTTTTCGTGAAAAATATTTATTAAAAATTTATTAATTAATTTTCTTTTTTTTTTCGTGACAAATATTGTTTATTAAAAATAAAGTAAGGGAAAAATTTTTTAAAAAATAATGGAAGTTTGGAAAAAACAAATTTTTGCGAACTATTTTTTTTTCATTGAACTAAAATAAATTTTTTCTGTTTTATCTTTTTTTTTTGTTTGCAAAAGTCAAAGCTATGCTCCAGCGAAGACGTGCACTTCACGATAAAACCAGCGATGGGCATGTTACTCTTTAAAAGACACTTGTTACCGTTACTTCCATTTTCTATTTACAAAAAGTAGTCTGATACGGTTAAGTTCTTTTTTAAATAATGCTCTATATTATATATACTCTTTTAACGGAAAATACGGTTATTTTTCAATATTTATATATATATATATATATATATATATATATATATATATATATATATGTAACATGACTCTTTGATTTTTCTGTATAATTTTTTGATATATTAGAATTGATTTTTTTTTATTAAATTTTTTTCTCCGTTGTAGTTTTACAGTATTTTAATTATATTTTAAATTTATCGGTTCCGGTGTTCAATCAAAAATTAATGGAAATTTTAAATATTATAGTCTCTCAGTACTATTAAAAAAGCAGAGAAATATTTTTTTTATTATTATTATAATAATAGAATATATTATTATGGGCTATATTATATGCAAATAAAAAAAAATAATAATAATGTTTATTATTATAATATTTATTTTATTTTATATTATTTATATTTATTTAATAATATCTATTAATAATAATCTCAGAAATATTTATATTATTTGATATAAATAAATATTTATTTAGTTAGAATTTAAAAATTTTAAAAAAATTTTTGAAATTATTATTAGTGAAAATTTTCATTTGTTAGAATTTTAATAGAATTCTTAAAAACGCCAAATTTTTATTTGACCGAACAAACATAACCAACATAAAAGAATTCGGCGGGATTTTTAAAGTTCAACCAATCACAATTTTCTTGATAATTACTGATTGGTCATATTTTAAAAATTACTAAGAATTTTTTTTTTATTGGTTATGTTCGTTCGGGCAATTACAATTTCGGTCAAGTAAAAATTCGTCATTTTTTAGAATTACAAATAACAATTAGTGGGAATAAAAATTTAAATATAAAAATAAAAATATATAATATAATAAAATATAAAAAAATAAAATTTCGCTAAATTGAAAATTTTCAGATTTAAAAAATGCGAATTAATAAAAATTCAGTTGAATGACAAAAAATTGAAAACATTTAAATTAAAAATTTTAAAATATAAATTAAAAATTAAAAATTCGGTTGAATTAGCAGTTGTGAAAAAAGTCAACTGTAAATTTACAAAAACAAAAATTTTTGTACTGTAGTATGGAAGTTTTTAGCTCTATATATAAATGCATTCGGTACAAAGAAGTGGCTGTTTAGTCATGGCTCAGTGCCATCGCGAGATGCATAACAATATATACTTACAAGTCCATCACGCTTTTGGTCTTCTGCTCAAATTGCCACTACCTGTGTTGCGTATATATATATATATATATATATATATATTCAGCGAACACTCTGTCACGCCTGAGAACAAAAAATCACAAATAATCACATTAAAAAAAAAAATGTATTTTCCAAAAAAAAAATTAACAAATTTTTTTAGTTAATTTTGAAAAAAAAATTAAATAATAAAATTCTAACATAAAAGAAAGTAATTGACAATTTTAAAAATGTCACATTAAGAAAAAATTTAATAAAATAAACTAAAAATTAACTATAAAAATAAATAAAAAAAAAAAAAAAAAAATGGGGGGCAAAGTGGGGCGTGACAAAAAAAAATTATTTTTGGTCCAATGGATCAGACTAGTCATTTCTTATGTATTTTGGGTCGCTGAATTCGAATCCGGTGTCAGATCTAAAAAATTATGTTTTCTAACCTCAAAAAAATCATATTGTTTTTGGACAAATTTTGTACAACGATAAAAATGAAAACGCGAACTAATTTTAAAATTCCAACCGTAGAGATTCAAATTAGAAGTTTAAATTGACTTGAATTTTCGAATTCAAAATGAAAAATCCAATATGGCGGATCAAAAATGGCGGTTATTTTTTTTAATTGATCCAATTCGGTTGAAACTTGAAATTCCGGGTTTTTTTTGGGTCCCTGATTACGAATCTGATGTTAATTTTCAAAAATTCAAAAACTTATCGAGCTTACCATTAAATTAGGCTTATTAATAATTTTCTGCCTGAAAACTGAAAAATATTTCGTACGAAAAAAAATGACAATTTTGAAATAAATTTTAATTTTCTGCATGAAAAATAGAAAATATTCCTTACGAAAAAAAAATAAATAAATCGAAGAGGAAGTGTAAAAAAAATTGGAATTTGCGAAAAAAAACGAAGGTTCCTTATTACTGGGCAATAATGAATCATTAATTTCGAAATGCGACGGGATATATGTGAAGAAGTGCGACTCTGTGCACTTTTGTGTGAGCTTTCACTTGTTATTTAGACACACGAAATACTTTGCGTTATATAGGAAAAAAAAATACGAGTGAATTCTGTGTACGAATAGGCTTGTATATAAATATATAGTATTTGGTCAGATGGTATCATCTTGAACAAGCCATTGCCCAAGTACTCCATCTCTTGACCCACTAAGCATTTCAGCTGTAACCTGCCCAAGAAAAAAAAAAAATATATATATATATATATATAAAAGTAACCGGCAAAGCAGCGTGCACCCATGGTTTTCAATTATAGCCTTCTCCTCATTTTCTTTCCCATAATCTCAGTATTTAACCTGTCCTGAAACTTTACAAGATAAGAAAAACAGAGAAGAGAAATTTCTTTTTAAAAATTCAAATTTTTCATTTTTTTTAACGGATCATTTTCCGCTACTCTGACAATAGTGAAACTAAAGTTTAAAAAAAAAATTTTAATTTAATTTAATAATAAATTAAATTAAATAATTAAATAATAAATAAACAGAAATAACTGTTGAAGTAAAATTTATTTGATTCAAATAATATGGGTTACTTGACTATTATCAAATAAATATTTATTTATAACAAATAATTATTATTTGAGTCAATTAGATAGTATTTGTTTTAAATAAAGATATTTTTGGTTCAAATACAATTTATTTAATTCAAATAAATATTTATTTGACAATAGTCAAGTAAAAGATTATTTAAAATAATTAAATTTTTTTCTTTGTATTTTATAAATGTGAATTAGTATAAAAAAACTAATATTATAGAAAAAAAAGTCAGGCACCTGATACAAATTGTAATATTTCTACTAATTGATTAGTTATAAATTACTAAATATTAGTTAAATTTATTTTTAATTTATGTCAAAAGCGAAATTTTTGTTAACAAATTAAATAAATCAAATTTGACTATTACTTCAATTGTTTTTATAATTAGTCTTTTTTTACTAATAATTAGTTATTTTGTAACTAATAATTAGTCATTTTTTATTAATAATTAGTTAGTTTTTACTAATAATTAGTTTATTATTAATATTAGTATTTTTTTACTCATAATAAGTTTTTTTACTAATATCAGTCATTTTAAACTAATAATTAGTTTTTAACTAATATTAGTAATTTTTTTAATAATAATTACACTGAGAAAAAAGGTTTGAGCTGACAACCAAATATTTCATTCAATATATGTGCAACTAAAACTTTTTGGTTGACACAACTAAACTTTAGTTGACAACAACCAAAGTTTGTTTTAGACGACTAAATAAGAAAATGAAAAAGAATTTGGTAGTCTCAACCAAACTTTGGTTGATGTCAACTAAAGTTTAGTTGTGTCAACCAAAAAATTTTAGTTGCACATATATTAAATGAAATATTTGGTTGTCAGCTCAAACCTTTTTTCTCATGGTAGTTGTTTTTACTAATTGCTAAAACGCAAAGTCAGTCACGATATTTTAAAAAAAATTTTTTTTAAAAATTCAGTGATTTTTAAAGTAAATTTTTTATTTTATTCCAGAAATAATTGTTGTCTGACCAAAAATAACTTTTTCTACTTTAAATAAATTTTGTCTGACCAAAAAACCACTTTTTCTGCTCTAACTAAATTTTGGCTGACCAAAAACTGCTATTTCCTACTTACGAAGAATATTACTCAAAGATAATTGTAACTTGTACTTCAAATATTGTCAAAAAAATCTAATTTTCTACTTGAAATAAAAATAATTATAATTTATTAAATAAAATATCAATTTGTGTTAAATTTTTTTTGATTTTTATAGGGGACGGTGTGCCCGGAACAATCGTCGTCAGAGTTGGTAATAATCGACCTGATTTGGGGACAAATCCAATTTGCAATCGTTATACAGGACCATTAGAAGGAGGTCAACCATTATTTTTGCCATGTAATCCCCCCATGCCAGGAGCTTTTGTTTCCGTTCATCTTGAAGCTGCTTCTCAAAATCCAGTTCCTGTACAACTTTCACTATGCGAAGCTTTCGTCTACACTGATCAGGTAAAAAAGAATTTTTTTTTCCTTTTTTTATGTTAATTCAGAAAAAATATAATTACGAAACTATTATTTTACTGTATTCAAAAAATTTGGTTTTCAACATTTTGATTAATTAATTCTTCGAACTTGTTACGTAATGTAACATAAATAATATTTTTAAAATTTTTATAACAAATAATAATAATTTAATATTTATATTTTAAATTAAAGTTATAGTTATAAAAATTTATTACAATTTTAAGCCTGAATCATCATCCAATAGCTTGGGAATTGATTTTGATTATTTTATTTCTATTGAATTTTCTTATAGATAATTGAAAAATTAAGGAAATACATAATATAAGGAGTAAAATTTGTTAGTCACAACTATATAAATTGACGTTAACATATTTTGGAATTAAAGGTTAAAATAATTTGTAATCACATAGGTAAAATTATACAATTTTAAAGAATAACCACCAGCTTTAATGCGGCAGTATTCTTTGGAATTGGGAAATTGTGAAAGATTTTTAGAAAATGAAAGAAGTTTTCAAAAAGAAATAAAGTAAAGATAGTAATTATAATTTTAAAACTTACTTTTTTATTTATCAAAGATAATTTTCCCTGAAGATGCAAAATATATTAGATTAATCGTTCTTCCTTGATAATTTCTGATTCGGTAATAATTGTAGAAAAATCACTAAACTTTTGACACTTGAAAATATAAAATTTGAATAAATTTAGAATTTGGAATAAATGAATAACATTTAAGAATTTTGATTTGAATTAGTGTATGTGAATTTGAATGTGGAAAATGACTTTTGAATGACTCTTTTGAGTTTGTATGTAGAAATTTGAATGTTGAAATAACTTTTTGAATGACTGCAAAAATTTTGAATGAGTTCCTGACTTACGCAAACATGCGTTTTTAAGGGTCTATCCCCACTCAAAAATTAGACTTTTTGTGGGTTATCCTTTATAAAAACAGATTTCCAAAAAGTAGGGATAAAATCTCAAAGAAGGGGAGATCTTTTATATTTTGCATCTTTTTACAATTAGATTAATTTTTTGTTATAAACAATAATAATTTTTATTATAATTTGTTATTAACAATTATTATTTGACTTAATTTACATAACCTTTTTTTAAATTTTGGTTCTACGACGATTTTTAAGAATAATTTATTTTCTTAGATTTAATTTATTTATAATTTTCTATAATTGTTGTTAACTTTAACAAATTTGTATAATAATCTAACCTAACATTTAAATTATAGTTATAATTATTTAAAATTTCAATTATTTATAATTATTTATTGTTAAATATCAATATAACTTAATTATTGTTAAATTGTATTAAATTTTTAATTATTTATTTATTAATTTTATATTTTTTATAATTTTTATTATTAATTTTACTTATATTAATAATTTTAAACAATAATTGATTATAAATTTCGACAATTACTAGTTTTTATTAAAATTTAATATAAATTGTTGAAAAATAACATTTTAATTATTTATTAATAATAATAATGAAATTAATTATTGAAGTTAATAGTGTAATACAAATAATTTAAACAATTATCATCTGAAATTATATATTTTTTTAAAATAATTATGTACATTATTTATAATATTTCGAAAAAAAATTTTGAACTATTCTTTTACGAGGGAAAAATTAAAAATTATTATTAATAAAAAAGATTAGCGAATTTTTGATAAATCATAATTTTTTGTCAATTTTTTTTCTAATTTAAGGCACTGCCAATAGAAAGGTGTCCACAGTTCAGAGATCAGCCACCGGGATCGACAGCAACTTACAATGGAAAATGCTATGTTTTTTATAATCGTCAGCCATTGAACTTTAGAGATGCTTTGGCTTTTTGTCGATCTAGAGGTGGGACTTTGGTAGACGAGAGTAATCCTGCTCTTCAAGGATTCATATCATGGGAGCTCTGGAGACGCCACAGGTTCGTTAAATATGATTCAATAAATATATTATTTATTTACTTAATATTTATTTAATAATATCTATTGATATTTAATTAATTTTATAATATTCCTCGTTACAAATTAAAAAATTTAATTTATATTATTTAATAATTATTTAATATAATAAATATTTATAATTTATTTTTTAATAAATATTTATCCCAAATAACATGGAATATTTTCTATTCACGTTCCACGAATATGTAACTGGAACATTCGAAATGTTCCGTCCATATACCAGGAATATGAAAATATATAAAAATTCCCTAGGAATGTTCCAGGAATATTCCGGTCGAATACTGAAGGAATATTCCATTGGAATATTAGAGGAAAAATTATGTCAGACATTTTCATATTCCTGGAATGTAAATGGAATATGAATGGAATATCTCAAGAAATGTTCCAATGGAATATTCCCGAAAGGTGAATTAAAAATTCCATGCTATTAGGGATAATATCAAAAAATATTTATAATTTATTATTTAATAAATATTCGTCTCAAACAGCATGGAATATTCTATTCACGTTCCAGGAATATAAAAATGTTCTACCTTTGGTATGTTCCCTAGGAATATTCCCTGAATATTCCATTGGAACATTAGAGCAAAATTATATTATATATAGTCCTCATAGTCTATTTATTTTCAATTCATCGAAAGTTAATAATAAATTATTGTCCTCAAATATTCCAATGGAATATTCACCATTGGAATATTTTTTCAACATTTGAATGAAATATTCATGGAACATTCCAAATGTAAGACATTTTAATATTTCTAAAATTTGGATGGAATATTACAAAGAAAAATGTTTCAATGGAATATTTCCAGAATGTGAATGAAATATTCCGTGATGTTAGGAATAAATAAATATTTATTATATTATTTATATTAAAAAATTGAATAATTTAGAAGCGACACATCGAGTCAATATTGGATGGGCGCAGTGAGAGATATGAAGGATAGAACCACATGGAGATGGACCGGAAGTGGAGAAGAAATCTCAGTGTCATTCTGGAGTTTGCCCCAAGGCAGCGAGGAAGATTGCGCTCGCTATGACGGAAGTCGAGGCTGGTTATGGTCAGATACACCATGCACAGCAAGACTAAACTTCATTTGCCAGCATCGTAAGTATCATTTATAATCATAATAAAAAACAAACAAAAATTTAAAAAAAATAATAATAATACTCTTACGTCTCAAATAGAGAAATAACTAACGAAATAATATTTTATTTTTCGCCGGTCGGTGATTTAGTGAATTCCTGTTTTATTTACAGAGCAGAAGGCTCTGAGCTAAGGGTACAGGTAAGAAAGAGAATAGTGATTTTTAATGACAAGGTTACAAATTTATTTAGACAAACATTTAGAGTTATAAAATTGATCTTTGAGAGAGAGAGAGAGTATCCTGAAGCAACCATTCTTGAAATAAGGGGAAGTCAGCATTCCACTGCAACAAGGAATGTAAAGGTTACTACAAATTTTTATAAGGAGGAACGATTTAGATAAAAAGTAATAGACTCTGTCACTTGTGACGTCAGAGTTGATTCTAGGTGTGACGTCAGAGGCCTGGAGGGATAATAAACAGACAACACAATGTTATTTTTATGGGGAAGAAAATTTGTTTCCACTTTCATCAAATTTTATTCATACTCTAAACATGGGAAATGCTTGTTTACATATAATAAAATTAAAATGTGTGTTGATAATTAATTTCGTTATATATTTGATTCAATTGCATTGATAGATTCTCTAAATTCGTGATAAAATAGAAATTTTGAGGTTAGGGGTGTTTGTTTACTAACTTGAAATCTTTTACTGCTGCGGTAATTGCCACTTAAAATATATATCACGAATTCAGAGAATATATCAATGTATTTGAATCAAATATATAAAAAAATTAATTACACAGGCCAACATTAATATGTTTTTTCATGCTAAACACAAATCCGTAAACGAAAAGTTCCAATCAGCTCTAGTTTTTGAGAAAAACGGGTTTTAAATGTTCAAAAATCGCGTTTTCGGCTAACTTTGAGTACCTCTAGCACTGAAATATAAGGTCAAAATTGTTGTTAACTAGTATTTAACTACAGAACTTATTCGGTAATATTTGAATAACTCTAGTCAATAAAATCAAAGGTTTTATACCTTCTTGTTGAGCTTTAATTCAATTTATCCCTTGACTGTAGTTCATAAAAATTACATTGCTGCACCTTAACCTCAAGGACTAGATGTATGCGCTCAAACTTTTACAAAATTAATATTTGGGAATCAAAAATGGATAACAAATGACTTTGAGGTTATGGTGCAAGATAGATCATTTTTGAGGATAATAGTTAAAACATTAAGCTTCAAATTAAGCCCAAGTGGAAGGTTCTACGACCTTTTGTTTCAGTGTTAGAGGTACTCAAAGTTAGCCAAAACGCGATTTTTGAACATTTTAAACCCGTTTTCCTCAAAAACTAGAGCTGATAGGAAATTTTCGTTTACGGATTCGTGTTCGGCATGAAAAAACCTATCAGAAACAGATCTGACATTTGCCGCACCAAAAAAGTTTGCTAATTTTATTGGCCTGTGTTATCAACACAAATTTTAATTTTATTATATGTCAACAAGCGTTTTCCATGTTTAGAGTATGAATAAAATTGATGAAAGTGGAAACAAATTTTCTTCCCCATAAAAATAACATTGTGTCGACTGTTTGTTGTCCCTTCAGGCCTCTGACTTCATATCTTGAACTCGAAATATCTCGATGAACTGACACAGCCTAATCGACTTACTTTGAAAATTTAGATGTAAGTTGTATAAAAAAGGAGCACTTCTATGTCTTTAAATATAAGCAGAAACGGCTGGTACCCGATATCGTTTAAGAGCTCACGACAAAACTGACGGGCCTTGGTAAAACTGATGAAAACTTGGATGAGTTCTTTTTGACGTAGAAACTTTTAATACTTGACACAGAGATTCTTCTATCTTCAGCTTGAGTATAAAATTGGGCAGAGTACTTCTTAATGTTGAGGTTTATAACACTTGACTTTGAATCACTCGTAAAATGAACTTGAATAAGAAATCGTGCAAAGTAACAAGATTTCGTGTATGAAGACGATGAACTGGTACCAAATTTGAAGTAGAAGTAACGTGTACGATGAAGAGTTCTGAACTGGTCTCTCCGTAAAAATAATAGTCCTTTTATACCAAATTTACGTAAGAGAGACTATAAAATTTTATTGTCTTGTGTTGCTTCTTCTACCCTAATATTAGAAGCTAGAAGTTTTAGCCCTATTTCTCTCTCTCAGTTGAACGTAAAAGAGGGTTTTGTCCGATTATATTACAAAATTAGAAAGAGAGCGCCTTTGTTTCCGAATCGCAGATGTAGGCGAGAAACACTAGAGGGGTAGTATGTAAGTATATGAAGAATTAGAAAGAGAGCGCCTTCGTCTCAAATCGCAGCTGTAGGAAAGGGACCCTTTTACTGTAATAAAATGGTTTCTCGCTTCTATTTGTATATTTTTAGAAATACAATATATGAACGTAGAAGGATACAAAACGCAGGATTCTTTTATTTATAAAAGAAAAGATCTTTAGTCGCAGGAAAACGCGAATCGGTATTGATTTAAGAAAAGGATTCTTATAAAATGAATATAAAAGTTACGGTGACGTGACAATACAATGAAAAAAAATTTCTTTGATTCAAATAATCGGTTACTTCACTATTATCAAATAAATATTTACTTGAACCAAACAAATTTTTTTTTATTATAATAATAATAATAAAAATAAGAATAATATTATTATTATTATTGTTTATAATATAATAATTGTTTGTAATTAATATAATAAAACTGGTGTGGAATTTTTTGTTGAAAAATTTTCAAAGAATTTATAAATATGTTCTCTAGAATATTTTCACAAAATTACGTATGTATATATAAGAAAATCAGTTATACTCTCATTCCAAAAAGCAATTCAAGGCTACTGTTGCGCACACCGGTCTCAATTATTATATTATAAAGGAGCACAAGGTGTGTTCTCCTCTTGTAAGAAAATCTTTTCTTTTGCCACCACACGCGCATTCCGCCACACTTTGCATAAAGAATGCTCACCTTCGAGATAACCCAAGTTTCCGTTACATTTTACTGCAATATATAGACGTGAGAACACTGATTATACATTCATTAAAAAGTCTTTTTATTTTTCATATAAATGTATATATATATATATATTGTTCTCTAATTTGTATTATTGTTCCTTTAATTTGTTTAATTGTTCTCTTTGATTTATATTCTACTCTCTTTTGACTGTGGTTGTATAGCGTTCTTTGACTTCGATTTTGTTAGTTTATTGTCTATTTTTTTAAATTTAATTATTATTTATTTTTTTTTTAATTAATATTTATTTTTTAATTTTGTTTATATTTATTTATTATTTTTGTTTATTTATTTATTTTTATTTATTATTTATTTATTATTTTTTTTTATTTATTTATTTGTTCATTTACTTTTTATTTATTTATTTAAGAGAAAAAAGTATTTAAAGTAAAGAAAAAATTTATTTAATTGAAATAAATGATAAATTTAGTTAATTATCAAATAAATATTTAATTTTAGTAAATAATTAAATATTTTATTTTTAGAACCAAAGGCTTGTGGAAGACCAGAACAGCCACCAAATTCAACAATGTCAGTGACAAATCCTTCAGCAAAATCTGTGGTCAGTGCTTATGAAGTTGGAGCTGCTGTGGAATACACTTGTAATCCAGGAAGTCTTCTCATTGGCCCCTCAACTCGCACTTGTCTCGATACTGGATTTTACAATGAGTTCCCACCCGTTTGTAAAAGTATGTATTTTTTTTGCAAATTAAATTATATTCTTAAAATTAAAGGAAAAATTTGTTATTAACATGGAAATTTAATTGAAATTGAAAATTAATTATAAAATTGAAACTAAATTGAATTAAAATTAAAATCAAATTTTAATTTTAATTAAAATCAAATTATAATTGAAATTCAATTAATATTAAATTAAATTTTTTTTATATTCTTAAAAAGTTATTTGATAAAATAGATATAAAATAAATATTTACGATGCTAATTATAAAAAAAAATTTAATTTAAAACCTAATTTTTATCATTGACAAGAAACTAAATATGAATTCCATTTTATTGACAGACATCGAATGTGGTTTTCCGGCAAGTATTCTTCACGGAGAATACAGTCTGATCAACAACACTGTCAGTTACTTGAGTCAAGTTCTTTATAGTTGCGAGGAAGGCTACGAGATGACAGGTACTGATTTTCTATTCTATTGTCATTTAGAATTTTTTTTTTCACTTCTGAAAAATTACAATTTTATAAAATTTACATCTCGCAACAATTTGCAAATTATCATTTTTTCCAGAATGACGATTATAATATAATTTTTTTTATTTCTATACAAGAGAGCCTTAATATTGATCAATTATTTAAATTTTTATTTTAATTATTATTTTATTAAATTAATTTAAAAATATTATTTAATAATATTAAATTATATTAAATTTTAATATTTATATATTGAAAATATTATACATAAACAAATAAATAATTTACATATAAATAATTTTTATGAAAAGTATAAGTGGCTGTGTGGTGAGAGTACATGTCTCGCGTCCCAAGGGTCTCAGGTTCGATTCCCCAGTGCGAGATTTTTTTCAAAATTATTCTCAAGTATTTTATATATAATATATGTATGTAAATAAATAATTTTGTGAGCAAATTAAATTTTTGAAAATAAAAATTTCAGGTCGAGCAAGACTTACCTGTGATATTGATGAAAGATGGAATGGACCACCGCCACGTTGTGAACCAATTCGCTGTGATCCACCGCCAATTGTGCCACACAGTCATTTTCAAGTCGACGAAATATCAAGCGAAGAATCTGAAAGCAAAAATAATAATCGAAGTTTAATTGTTGGTAGCATTGTCACTTACACGTGTGATAAAGGTTATAGACTAGCGGGACATCGTCAAATTCTTTGCATACCCACTGGTTCTTATGATTATTCACCACCAACTTGCATTGGTAATCATCATTTTCATTAATAATATTATTTATAAATTTTTTTTAAATTAAAAAAAATTTTTAGCCCAATTTTAATTTAATAAAATTTTAGTCTAGCCGAATTTTCATTCAACAAAATTATAATTTAGCCGAATTATAAATTATCAAAATTCTAATCTAGCCGAATTTTTACTCAACAAAATTCTAAATTAGCCGAATAATGATATAGCAACATTCTAGTGTAGGCAAATTTTAGATTATCAAATTTCTAATTTAGACGAATTTTAATGTAGCAAAATTTTAGTCTAGCCGAATTTTAATTTAGTCAAATTTTAGTCAAGCCGAATTTTAAATTATCCAAATTCTAATCTAGCCGAATTTTGATTTAACAAAATTCTAATTTAACCGAATTTTAATTGAGCAAAATTTTAGTCCAGCCGAATTTTATTATGAACCAAATTTTTCAATTTTGACAAATTTTAATTCAGCAGAATTGTAGTCCAGCCGAATTTTTACTCATAAAATTCTAATTTATCCGAATTTTAAATTATCCAAATTCTAGTCTAGCCGAATTTTTACTCAACAAAATTCTAAATTAGCCGAATTTTAATTTAGCAAAATTCTAGTGTAGGCAAATTTTTAATTATCAAAATTCTAATTTAGTCAAATTTTAATGTAGCAAAATTTTAGTCAAGCCAAATTTTAATTTAGCCGAATTTTAAATTATCCAAATTCTAATCTAGCCGAATTTTGATTTAACAAAAATTCTAATTTAACCGAATTTTAATTGAGCAAAATTTTAGTCTAGCCGAATTTTATTATCAACCAAATTTTTAATTTTGACGAATTTTAATTCATCAGAATTCTAGTCTAGCCGAATTTTGACTTATAAAATTCTAATTTATCCGAATTTTAAATTATCCAAATTCTAGTCTAGCTGAATTTTAATTTAGCGGAATTTTAAATTATCCAAATTCTAATCTAGCCGAATTTTGATTTAACAAAATTCTAATTTAACCGAATTTTAATTGAGCAAAATTTTAGTCTAGCCGAATTTTATTATGAACCAAATTTTTCAATTTTGACGAATTTTAATTCAGCAGAATTCTAGTCTACCCGAATTTTTACTCATAAAATTCTAATTTATTCGAATTTTAAATTATCTAAATTCTAGTCTGGCTGAATTTTGACTCAACAAAATTCTAATTTCGACGAATTTTAATTAAGCAAAATTTTAGTTTTACTGAATTCTTCATGTATCAATATTCTAGTCTAGCAGGATTTTAATTTGTCAAAATTCTAGTCTAGCTGAATTTTTATTGAACGAAATTCTAATTTTGCAATTTTTTTTTAAATGAAGAAAAATTATCATATTTCACTGACACTATTTTCGCAGATGATTCACTAAATTCACCAGCGGCACCGCCACCGCGAGTCACACACAGACCATCGAGTACAAGAGGTCGACCATTTATTCCCACGAGATTTAGATCATCATCGTCATCGACAACGTCAACAACAACGACAGCAAGTAGCATATTGAGCTCGACACCAAATCGAAAATCATCATTGTCACACGTTGAACAACCGGCGACAGTTCGCGAAACAATTCAAAGAAAATCATCAATTGGATTACAAAAACCAGCCACGACAAATGTCAATGATGGAAGTAATGATCATCCACAGGATAATGAAATTTCAGGAAGTGGCGTTGATAATAGAGAAACGTCACTTGACAGTGGAGTTCCTGAACCTTCGGGACCATACAGAGTTAATAATGAACAACCAACGCATCAAGCAAAATTACATCTTGGTGCTGTTATTGCTTTGGGTGTATTTGGAGGATTTGTTTTTCTAGCCGCCGTCATTACGACAATTGTCATTCTTATTCGCAGGTGAGATTTGCTTTTATATTTATAAATTTTACTTTTTTTATTGTTGCATATATATATATATATAAACAGGGACCTTCGACGCAAATTAAACTGAAATGGTATTCAGTTTCTGATAAAAGCAGAAATAGAATTTAGTTTTTGATAAATGCTAAAAACGCAATTATGATTTTGATAATAACTTTGTTGCAGAAGAAAGTAAAAACAGATTTTAAATTTTGATAAAACCTAAAACAGAATTTAAGTTTTAAAAACATTTGAAACAGAATTCTGCAAATGAAACCTAAAACAGAATTCAGATTTTGATAAAATCTGTAACAAAATTTTGATTTTGATTCTGAAACAAAATTCAGTATCTGATAAAGCTCGAAACGTAATTTAGCTTCCGAAGCAATCTGAAAGAAACTGATTTTTCAATTAATAATTTGATTCTCGTTTTGTTGAAGATCAGTAACAAAATACAATAATTTGTCGAATACAGATTTTCGGGTAAAACATAATTTAATTGTTCAGGAAATCTAAAAATTTTGGTTTTGATAATACCTGAAATAAAATGCAGTTTCTGTTGAAACCTAATGCAGAATTCAGTTTATAATAAAAGCTAAAAACAAAATTCAGATTTTGATAATATCTAAACCACAATTTTGTTGCAGAAGAAACCAAAATTATTCAGATTTTGATAAAATCTAAAACAAAATTTAAAACAGAATTTTTATTTCAAATGAAACCAAAAATATCAAAATCTGAAACAGAATTTAGATTCTGACAAAACCTGAAACCGATTTTTTTTTTAATTAATTCTCTTTTATTAAAAATCAGAAGCAATCATTGTCGAATTCAGCATTTTTTGGGTAAAAGATGAAATAGAATTCGAAATCAAATTTAATTCTCGTGTAACTTTTTTTTAACGGAATGCAGAATTAATTTCTATTCAAAATGTTAGAATTTGGAATTTCAGTTTGAAGTATAATTATAAATTAGAATTTTTATTTCGTTTCAACTTTTCATTAAATTAAATTTCTGATTTGAAATTAAATAAATACTTTTAATATCATTTCCGTTTTGAAAAGAAAATTAGGAATATGTTATGCTAATGTTATGAAACAAAATTTTGAAGTTAAATTTCAACTTCAAACCGGAAACAAAATTAATTTATAGACTTAATTACACGTTTCAATATTAAAATAGAAACAAATTAGTCATTCAATTATATTTCCAATCAAAAATAGAATTAAAGGTTTAATTTAATTCTGTTTTTGTATTTAGGTAAAATTAATAATTGAATTTTTTGTTTAAAGAAACGAAATTACAAAAATCAAACTTTCAGATCCAAAATAAAATATTAAATTCATGATTATTATTTTGTTTCTAAGAAATGAAATGTAAATTTTGTTTCAAGTTCAAAAATTAATTTTCGCGAAGGTCTCTGTTGTAGAATTAATTTTAATTTTTAATTAAATTGTTTAAGGAGAATGTTTTTCGTGACTCTCTAGGCTTGATTTTATAGACTAATATTATGACTCTTCTTAACTTATTCTTTCATCTTTTCTTATATAACAAAATACCAAATCTTTGAATTTAATTTTCTTTTCTAAATTTTGATTTCTGTTGATTATATCCTTTTATTAGTAGAAATAACCTTTTTTATATTTAGTAGCAATAATACTTGTAAATAAATTGTATTACATTAATTTAATCATTTTTAGTGCGAAATTAATAATTCTGTTGGGTTGTTTTGCAATTTTAATATAACATTTATTTTATTTAATAACATTTATTATTTATGTAACAAAAAATTTTTAAATTTTGTTCATTTGGAATTTGAAGCTTTTTTTTTATCGAGCTTTTAATTATTTCGGCTTCTTTCAACTTCTTAACAATATTTATATTGTCCTCTTTGTTTCATTTTTTTTAAATCGCTTCTTTTTCATTTCAATTTGTATTAGAATTAACAATTTTTTGAATTTTATTAACAAAAATTTTGAAATTTTATTTTCCACTATTTAGAAATTTTATTTTTTTATTGTTTATTTTTAATTTTTTTTACTATTATTTATAATACAAAATTGAATAGACGCGACAAACACACATTTTTTCGGTGGGGATTCGGAGAAATTATTTAATTTGTTAATAAATAATTTTACTTTAAACATTTTGCCAAAAAATAATTATGGTTATAGGAATTAAAATTAATTAATTTGAGATAGCCTCTCTCAATGATTAAATTCTAAAAATGTAAAGATTTTTTTTTTAAATAAAGAGGAAACCGCGAAAAAGATGAGAAATTTAAAAAAAAAATTTTGAAAAAGAAGAGAATTTTTTTTTAATAATAAAATAAAAAGAAACAAAAAAATCTGTAAATGAACCTATGGAGTAACGAATGAATGGATGGGTGATTTTTTTTTTATAAAATACCGTCGTGTCTCGTAACTGCAAAAATTGTGGAAATATTCTGTTCTTTAATATTATTAATTTTGCATTTATAAATTTTGAAATTATAAATAAATAAAAAAATTATTAATTTTGCAGTTACAAATTTTGAAATGTTAAATAAATAAATTATGAATATTGCAATTATAAATAAATAATTAATAAATTAATAATTTTGCAGTTACAAATTTTGATATTATAAATAAATTAATTACGAATCTTGCAATAAATAAATGAATTATGGATTTTGTAATTATAAAACATAAATAAATTAATACTTTTGCAGTTACAAATTTTGATATTTTAAATAAATTACTTACGAATTTTGCAATAAATAAATAAATGGTAATAAATTTTAAAATTATTTATAAATAAATAAATAAATTAATTAATTAATTAATAAGAAATTTTGCAATTATAAATAAATTAATTAATTATTAAATAGGGAATATTGCAATTATAAATAAATAAATAAATTATTAATTTTGCAGTTACAAATTTTAATATTATAAATAAATTAATTATGAATCTTGCAACAAATAAATAAATTATGTATTTTATAATTATAAAATATAAATAAATTATAAATCTTGCAATTATAAATAAATAAATTATAAATTTTGCAGTCACAAATTTTGAAGTTTTAAATAAATAAATTATGAATATTGCAATTATAAATAAATAAATAAATTGTTAATTTTGCAGTTATAAATTTTAATATTATAAATAAATTAACAATGAATCTTGCAACAAATAAGTAATTTATATATTTTATAATTATAAAATATAAATAAATTATAAATCTTGCATTTATAAATAAATAAATTAATAATCTTGCAGTAATAAATTTTAAAATTATTTATAAATAAATAAATTAATTAATTAATAAATAAATAGGGAATATTGCAATTATAAATAAATAAATTATTAACCTTGCAGTTACACATTTTGCAATTAAATAAATAAATTATGTATCTTGTAATTGTAAAAATAAATAAATAAATTATAAATCTTGCAATTATAAATAATTAAAATAATTATGAATCTTGCAATTACGAGACACGACTCTAAAATATAATAAAAAAAAAAGAAAAAAAAAATTCTAATAAAAATTAACAAAAAAAATAATTGCTTTTGGCTGATGACGATGTAGTGGTAACGGCAGCGTCGGAGGAAGGCGCCGCAGGGGGCTCGGTGGGGTTGGTGCGTTGGGAGGAGGCGGGAGTGGTGGCCTTGGCAGGGGTGATTCGGGTATGCCATCACGATGGTACACCCTTCTTGCGCTACCGTTCCCCGACCAGCACCTGGGGCGCCGCGACCTCACGGCACGCCGAAGTAGCGATCATCCTTATTCATTTAGTCTCTCGGCGGCCCATCGCGCTGGTTACTTCTCGAATCCCTCTCTTTGATAATAATTATTATTATTGATTAATAGTATATATTATTAAAATTTTATATATATATTTTTTTTAAAAAAATTAAAAGATAAAAAAAAATTAGTTTATGCCTCATCCCGCCCCACCCCCAAGCCCCGCCAACCCCTTCCTCAATTTTTAAGCGACCGAATCATCGCAACATCATCTACCTCCTCAACTACCACGCGTCACCTTCACTGGCGATTATTAGTCAAGGTAAAAACAGAGCATTGAGTCCACGATGATTTTTTTTTTAATAATAATAATAATTTTTATTATTATTATAATAATTGTTGTTATTGTTATTATTGTTCTTTTCTACTTTACCGAGCACTTGTTTTAGATTTAGGGGGTTGCAATAGTATATATAAATGTTTACTCAGAAAACTCGATTTAAAATTTACAGCCGCAAAATTTATTTATTCAAATTATTTTTTAAATTTATTTTTTAAATAAATGAAAAGAAATTAAATTAATTCAAACTATTTTTGATGTTTAATTAAATTTTTTGTTAACATTAAATTCTTATTGTTTTCATTAAATTTTAATTGTTGCTTAAATTACTTTTAATGTAAATTAAAATTAATTAAAAAATTTTAATTAAAAAAATTCTTTTTTAAATTCGACTCAAATTTATTTTTTTTTTAATTTCGAATAAAAAAAAATTCGAGTCAAATTTATTTTTATTTAATTTCAAAAAAAAAAAATTCGCCACAAAATTAATTTTTTTCAATATTCAGGAAATTTAATTTTTTTATACAAATTAAAAACAAAAAATTTTTTTTTTATGAAACTTAGAGACTTAAAGAAATTCTGTTTTTTTTTTTGGAAATTATTTTTCTGAGTATTTCCACTCTGGGTTCTATGCATGAGGAGCTTTGCGCCAAAAAATTTTTCTTCGCGATCTATTTTTTTCACACAATTTTTTATAATATTAATCTTTTCTTTGTTTGCTTATTTTATCTCTGTATATTGTTTCTACTCTCGTTTTTATTTGATTTTTTTCACACTCACTTGCCTAAAGCTGGTTTTGGGAATAAAATTAGCACGACCTCTGAATATGAATTATTATTTATAAAATTTGAAAAAAATTTATTGAACAAAATGAAAAAAAAAAATTTTTTTTTTGTTTAATAAATTGCAACGAAGAAATGATATTTGACAAAAAGAAAAGAATTTCAAAGTAGAAAATAGAAAGATGTATAAAAAAAAACCAGAAAAATTGATTTTGACATTTTTTTCTAAAAATTCTATTCTATTCTTCAAATTTTTTCCTTTTTTCTTTTCCCCCTTTTTTGGGTTAATGAAAAATATTCATCCGGTTACAATTTTACCAAAAAATTTTTGAAAAGAAAATTCAAAATTCGTTAAAATTGCAATAAAACTTTTCAAAAATATATTATTCTAAATACATGGTAATAAAATTTTTTTACAATAAAGGTAAGATACACTGCGACTTATGCACCAATCGTAAAAAAAATCACATGCTGCTTAAAGGCACAAAATTTATCTACTAAAAAATTAAAACAAACCCTAGGTTAAAAATTTCATTATCTAAAAATGAAAAATTTTTGTTAACAATTATGAAGAATTACTAAAATATTTTATGGAATATTTCATAGAATATTTTTAAAAATATTTTATAAAATATTTTATGGAATATTTAATAGAATATTTTACGGAATAATTTAAAAATTATTTTATGGAATATTTCATAGAATATTTTATGAAATATTTAATAGAATATTTTATGGAATATTAAAAAAAATTCTATAGAATAATAAAGGAATATTCTAATGAAATATTCATGAAATATTCCTGTAATAAAATAAATGGAATATTTTTATTAATTTTCAATAGAATATTCTCATAGAATATCGTAGGAATATTCATCTAAAATATTGCCAGATTATTTTTTTTTGTAGAATATTCGCTAATATTCCATTAAAAAATTCCACGAAGGTAAAAAATTTTCCACGGAAAAGTGACCACAGAAATTCCTAAAGTAATTCCCTTTGAAAATTCCGTAAGAATTCCATGGAAATTTTATCAAGTTTCCATATAATTTCTATAAAGTTTACAAAGAAAATTCTATCATTTATCCGTGGACTTTCCATTAAGTATTTATAGACTTTCGATAGAAATTCCATCAAGTTTCCATAGAATTTCCATCTTTTTGATGATTTTCCATTAAGTTTCCATGGAATTTACATCTTTTCATTGATTTTCCATCAAATTTACATAGATTTTCCCTAGGTTTTCCATCAAATTTCAATGCAATTCTTATGTAAAGTTAATGTTAACTAAATGGAAAGTTAATTGAAATTTCCATGGAAATTTCATGGAAAATTGGTGAAGTTTTTATAGGATTTCTACGGAATTCCAATGGGAAATTTAATAAAATTTCTATATAATTTCTCTGCGTAAAGTGACCACAGAAATTCCTAAAGTCATTCCCTTTGGAAATTCCGTAAGAATTCCATGGAAATTTTATCAAGTTTCCATATAATTTCAATAAAATTTACATGAAATTTCTATTAAATTTCCGTGGACTTTCCATTAAGTATTTATAAACTTTCGAACAGGAATTCCATCAAGTTTCCATCTTTTCGATGATTTTCCATTAAGTTTCCATGGAATTTACATCTTTTCATTGATTTTCCATCAAATTTACATAGATTTTCCCTAAGTTTTCCATTAAATTTCCATGGAATTCCTATGTAAAGTTAATGTAAACTTGATGGACAGTTAATTGAAATTTCCATGGAAATCATATGAAAAATCCATGGAAATTTGATGGAAATTTCACGGAAATTTGATGAAGTTTTTATGGAATTTCTACGGAACCGCAATGGGAAATCTGATGAAATTTCCATGGAAAGGCCATATAAATTCCATGGAATTTAAAAAATTATTGGAAAATCCATGGAAATTTGATGAAATATAATTTCTACGGAATTTCTGAATGGAAATGGAATTTTATTGGAAATTCCTACTGGCATTTTCCGTGGAAACTTTTTGCCTGGACAGCAAATGGAATATTCCGTGCTATTAAATAGAAATATGATACCAAAAATTGAATCATTTTTAAAAACTAAAAAAAAAACCTTCTTGTGGGAGCGTTGGTCACACACAAGGGCTTTAAATAAGCTGAATAATTTTTTTTTTTTTAATTAATTTTTGTAAAATTCAGTAATTTGCAAAAAAATTTGTCTATTTTTTTGAATTTAGAAATCGTGGAAGGGGAGGTAAACATTATCGTCATCGAGCATCGCCTGATTGCAATACAGTGGCAAGTTTCGATAGCAGTTCATCGGAGAGTCGTGGCGGTTTAAATAAATATTATCGTACGGCATGGGAAAATTTACACGAATCAGCTGGACATAAGGCAAATCATGCTCCATTACGTCGCAAGGAGACCCTGGATGAACCAGGATATAGAGAAAATTTTCGCGGTAGCAATACAGAGCGTGATGGTTCTGAACTTGTTGTAAGTGACGTTGCCGCTTATCCATCGAGTAAACAAGCCAGCATGTCCGACAAAAAACGTCATCATCACCATCATCATCATCATCATGGCACGCCCGAATGGAGACAATCTCAATCACATCATAGATATTGAAAAAAAATATATATATATACATATAATATGGATTTCTCTCACGAGAAATTTTTTTTCTAATACTGTGTTGTTCACATAAATAGCCACGTGGAAAAAAAATTCCAATTTTTGAGTTTTAAAAAAAAATAATTTAATTTCTTTTTTTATCAAATCGAATGAAAATTAGAAAAAAAGAAATTAAATTTTGTTTTTTAAATCATTTGGAAAATTTTATTTTGTAATTTATTTTTTTTTTTTTTGAAATTTATCCCTAGTATTTTTTTCAAATCTATTTTTTGAATTCATTTAAATGTTATTAATTATTATTGTTATTTATTTCTTTTTCCATTTTTAGAGGAAGAATTTTTGTATCTTTTTCTAACGGAAGTTTCAAAAATTAGATTTATATTGTAATTATAAAAAAAAAAAAATTTGTTAAAAGTATTTTCTTAAAGAAAACATTTTTTCTAAATCTTCTTTTCGGTGATAACATATTTTTAGTATATTTGTACATTTTTAGCAACAAGATTTTTTTTTTTATTTGCGAAAAAAGGAGCCTAAAAAATATGCCATTCAAATATTTCAAAAAAAGAAATTATTTTTTTGGAATTTATATTTTAAAAATTGAACTTTATCGAAAAGGCTTTGGAACACAGTATTTTTGTTTCGGGGAAAAAAAATCCATAAAAACTTATTGACATTTCGTTGAATTACGAAAAGAAAAAAGAAAATTCAAACGAAAAAACGAGGAATCTAATTCTATTCGTGTTCTGTTATGCCTTAAATTATTTATCACTAGCTCATTAATGTAAATAGTTAATAGACAATAAGAATATTATAAAATTATAAATATTTTATATATATATGTACGTGCATACAATTTTTCCTAAAAAAAAAAAAAAAAAAGAAGAAAAATTATTTATCCCCCAGTGTATACAGAGACTGATGCGGTTAATTGAATTTCTTCCATTGTATGTACGCATGTTGACTGGTCGGAGGACATGCCAAAAAAAAGCAGAGAGTAATATATAATATTAATAATAATAATTGTAAACTAAACGATCAAATATGACAAAGTGTAGTATTTTTTTTTTAAATATATTTTCTTCACTAATAATTTGTAAAACATTAGATAGCGATTTTCTTTTCATTTGTATATGTATACAAAATGATCATTATGTTCCGGATCATTGCAGAAAAATAATTTCTGTTTTTCGTTTTCTAAATAGAAAAAAAAAATATTAAAAATATTTTTAAGAAAAAAAAACAGAAAAATAGTGAATTAAAGCGGAAAATAATTATCACTTTGTATATTAAAAAAAAAAAAAAAATCATTTTCTTCATCCATGTAAAAAATTTCCACGAAAACTGTCATGCGGAAAATCAAAAGAAAATTCAATTTGGAAATTTCGTATAAATTCCATGGATTTTACATAAATTTTCCAAGGAAATTCCATTAAATTATAATTTTCTTTTCTTTGAAATTACATGAAATTTCCATCGAATTTCAAGTAAAGTAAAGTCCATGGAAATTTCATGGAAATTAAATGGAGAATCCTTAAAATTTTTTTTGTAAATTCCATGAGTTTTCCACAAATTATCGAAGGAAATTCCATTAAATTTTCATTTTCTCTTCTTAGAAATTCCATACAATTTCCATGGAATTCCTATGTAAAGTCCATGGAAATTTAATAGAAAATCCATGAAAAAACTTTACGGAAATTTCATGGACTTTCCATAAATTTTCTAAGGAAATTCCATTAAATTTAAATTTTCTTTTCGTAGAAATTCCATGCAATTTACATGGAATTCCAAGTAAAGTAAAATCTATGTAAAGTTCATAGAAATTTAATGTATAATCCTTGGAAACTTTTTGTAAATGCCATGAGCTTTCCATAAATTTTCCAAAGAAATTCCATTAAATTTTCATTTTCTTTTCTTAGAAATTTTATACAATTTCCATGGAATTCCTATGTAAAGTCCATGGAAATTTAATGGAAAATCCATGAAAACTTTTTGTAAATTCCATGGACTTTAAACAAATTTTCCATGAAAATTCCATTAAATTTAAATTTTCTTAGAAATTTCATATAATTTCCATGGAATTTCAAGTAAAGTAAAATCCATGTAAAGTTCATGGAAATTTAATGAAAAATCCATGAAAATTTTATGGAAATTAGGAAATTCCATGGAAACTTAAAGAAAATCCTAAGGAAACTTGAAATTTTTTTAAAATAAAATTTCTACGTAATTTTCGAATGCATTGTCAGTGGAAATTTTTCACCTGGATAACAGGATTAAAAAAAAAATAAAGCATTAGAAGTGAAATGCTAATATATAATTTAGAAACTTTGTAAATTTCTTATATTACATTTTATAATACAATTAACTATAGGAATTTTTATCGCGTTTTGTAATTTTATTATTCCATATTAATAATTTTGTATATCTTTTCGTATTTATTATAAAAAAAATTCCCATTTTTCGGAAATTCTCAATGTGATCTTAAAAAAAAAAACAACGAATTTTTTTGTCGTTCGCAAATTTTTTTGTGACGGTAATTAAGGTTTATTTTTTAAATAAATAAAAAAAAAATTCAAATTATAGTAGTGCCATTCTCGGCAATACACTTTTTTTCATAACGCACTGAGGGCGAAGCGTATTTGTTTTTTTTTTTTAATACATATATAGCGTTCAAAGTGCATGCAATATGAAATGTTTTATTACATACATATATGTAATATTGAATATTGTAGACAGTGTTTTATTGTATTTTGATGAAAGTAAACGTATTTATATAAGAAAAAAATTGTTTTTTTTCAGTCATTTTTTTATTATAGAATAATATATTTTTGTTTTCTTATTGTTTCAATTGAAAAATTAATATATTTACAAAAAAGCTTATATTTTATTTAGATCATTTTATACAAGTTATATATCATTTTTTTTTTTTTGCAGAAAATTCTACAATTGCTTTTATAGCCTCTGAATTATTATAACTATTGTCATTGTCAGTCATTAATATCAAAAATTTGTTCGTAAATTTTTTTTTCTTAATTTTTATAAATTTCTTAAGTTTTTAATTATTTAACCATTTAGCAATCAACTTGCCAATGGTTTGTCTCGCTTCAACAAGTTCGGGAATATCGTCTTTCGAAGGTGGATACATATTGGCACAGTGAGCAGTTCCTGTTGATGAAAAATAAAATAAATAAATTTTTATAAATTCAAAAGAATTTATAATATAAAAAAAATTATAAATAATAAACGAGTAAATTTAAAAAAAAACTAAATAAATTTGAAAAAGAAAAACTAAATAAATATAAATAAAAAATTTAATGAAATATTAATAAATCATAAAAATTAATATTTATGAATAACTTTATAAATAAATTTTTATAAAAATTGAATAATTTTGATAAGATTTTGTAAATAAAAATATAAATATTTATATACCATTTATGTAAATAGACGGAGCATTAGGATCCGTGGAATCGGTGATTCCTAATGCATGCCAAGGATCAATTGATCCATGGACATAGACAACATTTGTTAATTTTATATCAAGAGCTCCATAATTAACATTAGTGCGTCCTATTCCCATGTCAAGTACATCATGGAATCTGAAAATAAAAAAAAAAAATTATTACTATTATTTTCTTTAAACAATAAAACAAAATAGAAATAAAAATAAATATAATTTTTAATGAGAAAATTTTTTTAAAAAAATTAACAAAATTTTAATTAAATTTAAATTAAATTTTTTATTTCAAATATTTTAAGAATAAATAATTTCGAAAACCTTGGTCCAAAAACATCAGCACACTGTTGAATAAAAAAGTCAACAGGGAAAGTGTCACTGACCAATTTTGGACGTGCTGTTGAAGTTTGGAAAAATCCAAATTCTGTGCAAGTCTGATAAAACCATTGACGTCCTGTTTCGAGAAAAAAAAAATTATTTATTTTATTAAATTCTTCATTGAATTTTGAAAAAAATTGAAAATAATTTTTTTAATATTATTATTATTTTTTTTTTACCTCCCATAATTTTTTGCTCCTTCCATGTAACGTTTCTCAATTCGTTAATCATTTTTGAATAAGAATAATCGAGACATTTTTCCTTACTATCTGTCAACATTAAATTATTAACTTCCGCAAATCTATCGACGGGTGTTCCACGTTTTTGATCAACCAAAATATCACAAACAGTATCAATTGTATAATGTGATCCATTTCTATTGTCCTTATTGTATTGAACAATTTCCGCTAAATTTCCCGCTAATGTCTCATATAAATTTGCAATGTCGACTCTTTTTGTGTGTCCCGTATCAATTGGATCACACAAACTGAAATTTAAAAAAATATAATTATTTTTTTTCTCTTCTTTCTCATAAAAATTAATCAATTTATTATTATAATAAATAAAAATAAATAAATATTTATTTATTATTATAATAAATAAAAATAAATATTTATTTATTATTAATTTTATTATATATTAAACTAATTTGGTTTGAAAAAAAAAATTTCGTAACCAAAGATATTATTTTTATTTAGTTTCCATTATTATTTTTTTTTTTTTGAATAAAAATTTTTAAAAATATTTTTTACTTGAATTTTTTAACGATGCCTCGTTGTCCAAGTGGATGATTCAACATTATATGAATTTGATTAGTGGCATTAGTTATTGCATCGACACAATCCTGTGAATGGGTTTTTAGTGAATTTTCCACAACCACGAAATATTCTGTAACATTAAAGAATTTTTTTTTTTTTTTTGAAAATTATATATTTAAAAATAAATTCAAAATACTAAATTTTTTTTTTATTATTTTTTTATCAGAGCCAATTTTTGTGAACTGTTAAATTTGTTTTTTTTTTTTTTTTTTTTTTTTACTAACGTTGAAAATCCAATTGAGCCAAAAGTGGACCACTTGCTGAAACTGCACCATGAACTAAATAAGGATACTTTAATCGCATCCATGCGGCTAATGAACCAGCGTATGAACCACCAAAGACAATAAATTTAGTTCCAAATGGAATTTGATGCAAAACAATCATTTCATCAATAAAATAAGCAATATCAGCTAAAGCCTGCTCTGAAGTTAAATAAACTAAATTCTTCACACTCAAATCACTGAAAAATTATTAGATATTAATTAATTTAGAATTTCATTTCAATTTATTTTTTTATTTAATTTTAATAATTAATTAACTAATAAGAAAAATATTTTACTACCAAAATAAATTCATTTAAAAAATTAAATTTTTAATATTAATTTTTTAAAATTATTTTTTAAATAAATAAATAAATTTAATAAAAAATATGTAAAAAAAAAATTTAATTTTTTTTTTCAAAAATGCAACTTACGCTGTCGGTTGACTTTTTCCGTAAAAACGATGTTCAATTTGGAAACATTTGGCTCCAAATTGTTTTGCATATTCTATCCATTGTCCTTCAACCATCCACTTTGCACTAGCATCACCTTCGCCTCCAATCATTATAAAAACTGGTCCATTTTTTTTATAAAAATCATCATTTACAAAATATCTCTGTAAATATATAATTATTTATAAATATAAATATAAAAATATAAAATAAAAAAAAATATAAGAAAAAATAATAAAAATATAAAAATATTCGTGAAAAAAAGGACAAAAAAAATTTTGTTTTGATATTCCAAAAAAATATTTTTACAATATTCCGTATCACAATATTTCTATGTGATATTTTACTATAAAATATATTCTTTTAATATTCTAGAAGAATATATTTTTGATATTCCATTGGAATATTATTTTTCTATTCCTATAATATTGTTGAAAAAAAATATTTCCACTTTCAAAAAATATTTCTGAAATATTTTAAAGAAAATTTTTCAATATTTCAAAAAATGATTTTCTTAATATTTCATAAAAATATTTTTCATATATTCCTTTATAACATTAATTTGATATTTTCCAAGAATATATCTAAAATATTCCACAAGAATATTTTTTTGAAATTACACGAAAATATTCCTGAAATATTCCACAAGAATATGTTTTCGATATTTCACAAAATTATTTATGTGCAATGTCAAAATAATTTCTTCAAAAATATTTCTGCTGTTAAATAAAATAAAAAATTGTATAATATTAAAAAAAAATAATTTTTAATTAAAAAAATGTATTAATTTAAAAATTTCTAAAATGGAATATTTTTTTTATAAATATTCAAACTATACGAATGGAATATTGTAGAAAAATAAAATTATTTATTTAGTATTATTAGGTTTGGGAAAAAAAATTTGTTTGCTTTAAATTACTTGTTCCCATGTTCTTGCATCCGTTGGAGTGTTATGATCAAGAACTTGTTTAAACCATTGTTCCTTTGGTAAATTATATTTTTTCGATAAATTTGGTGTACCCAAATTTCCATATTTACTTCTACCACGTAAAAATGTACGCCACGCTGTTCCGTAGCTCAAAAAAATTGCAATAAATGAGAATAGTAAAAGAATTCTCATTTTGAATTTTTTTTTTTTTATAATATTTACGTCTTTCAGAAGTGGCAAGTTTTGATAACTATACAAATGACCTGCAAAAATATGTTTTCAAATATTACTGGATCATCTCCTCACTCTTATCAATTTATATACTGATAACAGAATTTATATTTAACCATTAATTTCATAGGGACATCATTTAAATTAAGTAACTACAAAATTCAAATAAAAATCCACATAATAGAAAATTTTTACAATTTTTTAAAATACAAAACATAAATTTAAAAGAAAATATATTTCCTTTTTGTTATAAAAATTATTCTTATAATTTTTTTTGCCATTTTATTAAATTCAATTTTTCTAATTTATTGATTAAATGAATTTTAATTGATTAAACAATTTTCATATTTCATAAAACTAAAAGAAATATTAAATGAAAAATTTTTTAAAGTTATTAAAAATTGTGAAAAAATTAAAAATTTTCAAAAATAGGATTATTTATCATTTTTATTTAGTTATTTAATAAATAGGAAAATTATAAATTATCAATAAAGAAATTTGTAAGCATGAAAATAATAATAATAATAATAATAATAATGATTCTTGATATAAATATTCATCTAAAATTAAAATATATATAGAAATTTATAACAAAGAATTTTTCATTCCAGATAAGAAACAGTCAACGATTTATGTTTCAATGTTTTCATCTTATTTAATCGCACAGACTATAAATATATTTGCATGACTAAAAGAAATTTTAATTTAAAAAAATTCAATTAATAATAATATAATATAAAATATATAATACAATACAATATAATAACAAATTAACTAAATAATAAAAAATTAATTAATAATTAAATAAATAATTATTAATTTAATTATTATTATTTATTAAATAAATAAATAATAATATTATTATAACAATTAATTTTTTACTTAAAAAATAAATGGCATCGAAAAGAAATGTTTAAAAAAAAATTGTTCATTTACAACTGAAAATGATATATATTTGATATATATGATATGATATATATTAAAACATAATTATAAACATAAAGATAATATTATAAAATAATATTATTAAAAATAGTTTGTTATTATAAATTAATTTTTTTATTTCAATAAAATTTTATAAAAATTACGTATATTAAAATACTTACAATAAAAAAATTGCAGTTTTTTAAATTAAAATTTTGTAATATCTGAATATTTGACACAAAGTTAGAAGAATTTTGTAAAGACAACAATCGTGCATTCTACTATAATGCACTCTAACAGAAATCTATTCGAAAGGAGCAAACTCAGCTCAACACGAATTCAGGGCCGTGTCAAGATGAACAAGAAATTCCATGGAAAATTTACAGTGATGTATGAATATCAACCAAAAATTTTTAAAAATCAAAATTTTTTTCTTCAATTTTTTTGAATATAATGAATAAAACTGATTTTTCATCATTAAAATAATGTAATTTATATAAAAAGTGAATTTTAAAAAATATTTTATTTAATTTTTTTATATGTAATTATTAATATTATAAGAATTAATATTATAGTTACAGAATATAATTATTATTAATAATTATTAATATTATATTATTTTAATTATAGAATTATAATTTATTCCCGTTAAAATGTTTGACAAAATTCTACAAAGAAATGAAAAATTTTTTCAAAATTTTTATAGTAATATTTTCTTATGGTTAATTTCTAAAATTCCGTATATAGGAAAATGTTAGGTACATATACTTTCCAAAATATTAAGAAAATATTTTTATAAAAGACTAATTGAAAATTAAATTTTAATTTATAATTAAAATTATAGGAATTACAATTTAATTTTGAAGTATTTAAAATAATAATAATATTATTTAATTTATTTATAATTGTAATTTATTACAGATTTACATAATAATTATTTATAATTGTAATTTATTATAGATTTACATAATAATTATTTATAATTGTAATTTATTATATATATATATATATATATATGTTATATATTTATTTATAATTAATAATAAATTTTTTCAATAATTGTAAAATTGAATCGACTTTATCGGCCATCAGGTGAGAATTAGGTTTAGGTTTAAAATGCCAGATGGAGCCTCAAACCACTTCCTTAAACAAGATTTTTTTTCAAATTTCAAAACAAAATTTTCGAATAGAAAAATTTTCAATTTTTTACTTAGTCCTCAATTTTCTTAATTTGCAATATGAATAATTATATATATATAATAATTTTTACTAATTAATTTATTAATTATTAAGTATATCATTAACTTTTATTAATTTTTATTATTTATAATTATATTTATTATATTATATTATACACAAAAATAAATCTTTATCTGGAATAGCTATATGTTTAACTAGAACAGCGAAAACTTTCTCTGTTTCAGTGAAACATTTCGCTGTTCCAATGAAACTTATCGCTGTTCTAGGTAAAAAAAATTTTTCTTGTATTATATTATATAATAATTATATTATATTATATATTTTATATATATATATATATATATTGTATATTATAATTGTATATTTTATATAATTATAATTTTAATATTTATAATTTTATAATTAGAAATATTATTATTTTTATTATTTTATTTATTTATTTATTTATTTTTATATTTACTGAAATAAATCATTATAATGATTAATTAATTAAATTGTAGTATTTTATAAAATAAAATTCTCATCAAAAAAAGGATTAATGAAACTTTTTACAGGAAATGACATTTTAATTTCAGTAGAAAAGGAAATTTTTCGCGAGACACAACGTGTGGTAGCTTTTTAAGTAGAAAAAAGAGAGTTTGGTCAGACAGAAGTTTTTCTATGATTTAACAAAAATAGTCTTTTAATATCGATTGTCACCGTTTTTTTTTACGTCTAGGGTTTATTATACTGATCACAAATATTAATTAATTATTCTAATTATAATTATTAATTTTAGGAAATATTTATCTAATAAATTAAAAAAAAAAGGCTTTGTCCAACAAAACACAATTTTTTCTACTTAAAAATAAATTTGAGAAGAGAATTTTTATTATCTATTTGGAAAAAAAAATTGTTTTTTTTTTCAATTTAAAAGTAAATTTCAAATTTGATTTAATTTTTTTTTGCAAAAAAATCGATATATTTTTTTTTTCGATCATCAAGACAAAATAAAAAAAAAATCTTTTATCGATAATTTCATCCGTCAAACAGTGAATTAAATAAGTAAAATAATCACTCATTTGCGTAATTGAGCTTTTATAATTACGATATCGCATAAAATGATTATTATGGTACGAGTATTATAGAGATTAAAAAATTGTTCAGCAGAGGAATTGGAGGGTGAGAGGCCATCTTTCAGTCATAACAATAGAGAGAGCATTACGATATGCTTTAAAGGAAAAAAAAAAAAAAATGAAATAAGGTGCGCACACGTGTAACACATTTTTTTTTTATGAAAATATAGATATAATAAAAATTTCTATATTATCAATTTATATAAAAAAAAATTTATAAAAAAAATTTAGGAAAACAAATTTAAAAAAAAATGTATGAAAACAAATTTTTTAAAAAAATTTATGAAAACAAATTTATAATTAAAGATAATTTTTCTAAAATTCGAAATTTACATTTTAATTCATTTTATGAAAAATTAACATTAAAATATTAATTTAATTTAATATATTAATAAATTTGTAAATGAATTAAGTACACAATGGAGAAAATAAATATAAAAAAAATTAATAAATTATAAATATTAAAATTAATAAAAAATTTAATTAATAAAAAAAAAGTGATTTTTGATAAATAAATTATTAAGATTATATATATTTATTAATTTTTATAAATAAAAAAAAATAGATGGACGATTAAAAAAAAAAATTTCTTTTTTAAATAAACCAAAATACAAATATAATAAATAAAATTTTGTCGTGTCATTTACAGTGAGGTAAAAGCACTCATATTGTTCTCGCGGTATTATTATAAAGACTAGTCTCGTTAGAAATGAAAGCTATCACAGAAGTCATGATTTTTCTCGTCTGGCAGTGATTATAAGAGTCGCACGAGTGACTCTTGAAAATTGCCCATGATAGTGACTTCAATTTTCTCTCGCTCATAAATTGTGAATTTTTAATATATATATATATACTATAAAATAGTTTATCATCTCTTTGCTAGAAAGAAATTTATAATTTTTCAATCTATCTTATTTCTAACAATGTTACATATATATACATTATTCTATAAATGATATTATTTTTATTTAATTTTTTTTTTTTATAAAGTACTTTTTTATTTCAAAAATAGAAATTTTCTTTAATGCAAAAAAAGTTTCTTGTATTAATTATTATAATTAATAGAATATAATTCAGGGACTGTCTCGAAATATTTGTGTCGTGTCCGTGTAGTGTCGCGACTCGACACGTTTGAAAACAATTAAAAGTATCGTGGCGAGACCCGACACTTTTAAAACTTTTCAAACGTATCGTGGCACGACCCGACACAGTTAAGAAATTCATAATTGTATCGTGGCGAAGCACGATACGTTTAGAAATTTGTAATCGTATCGTGGCAGGACTGGACACGTTTACGAATTTCCAAAAGTATCGTGGCGCGACTAGACACAATAAAAATTTGAGAATCGTATCGTGGGGCTGAACTACACGACACAATACAAAAATAATTATGAATTTCGTGTCGCATACAATGAAACTTGTTGATCAACATCTTGACAGTTTATTAATCCTTCAATAACATTTCAAGAAATAAAATTAAAATAAAATAGATATAGATTGAATATATATCAAATGTAAATTATTAAATTTATATTATATTATATTATATTATAATATTATAATTATTACAATATTATATTATATTATATTATATTATATTATATTATATTATATTATATTATATTATATTATATTATATTATATTATATTATATTATATTATATTATATTATTTCCACGAATTTCTGTTTTCATCCTATACTGTTTATTTTCATGTATTTCTTTTTGTATTATCAACAACTTATTGTCTAGTATGTAAACAAACCACACTTAAAATTAAAAATAATTTTGTTCAATAAAATTAATAGATTAATTTAATTTATTAACATTTTAATATTATTATGATTTAAAGAATTGAAAAAAATGTAAGACTTGATTACGAATTCAATATCAGTTTTTTAAAATTCAAAATGGCGGATCCAATATACCGAATCAAAATAACTAAAAATGGGCAAATTCGTCTAAACCATGTTACCCAGGGGTTTTCGGGGTCGCTGATTACGAATCTGACATCAGTTTTTCAAAGTTCAAAATGGCGGATCCAATATGGCGGACGACAAAATAAAAAATTAATCGGATTGTATTAAAAACCTATTACTCGGGGGTTTTCAGGGTCATTGATTACGAATTGTGACAAAAGTTTTTCAAAATTCAAAATGTCCCAAAAAACGCTCGAGTAACAAGTTTCAAAAGATCCGATCCTTTTTAAAAAATTGTTCAGCATATTAGATCCGCCATTTTGAATATTAAAAATAGGAAAAGAACTAGGCGCAATTGCGCCTACATCTAGGGTTTCATGGCGCTTTAAATTTTAATGTCAACTACTGGGACATGTCAACTATAGGGACATGTCAACTATAGGGACATGTCAACTATATGGACATGTCAACTATATGGACATGTCAACTATTGGGACATGTCAACTATTGGGACATGTCAATTACTGAGACAGGTCAACTACTGGGACATGTCAATTATAGGGGCATGTTAACTAATGGGACATGTAATGTCCATTCGGGAAAATGTCCATTCAGTAAATGGAGATTTGGGATCTGTGGGCCCCAACATTTGAATTTGGGAGCTATGGTGCCCCAAAATTTGAATTTGGGATCTGTGGTGCCCCAAAATTTGAATTTGGGATCTGTGGTGCCCCAAAAGTTTAATTTGGGATCTGTGGTGCCCCATAAGTTTAATTTGGGATCTGTGGGGCCTCAAAATTTGAATTTGGGATCTGTGGTGCCCCAAAAGTTTAATTTGGGATCTGTGGTGCCCCAAAAGTTTAATTTGGGATCTGTGGTGCCCCAAAATTTTAATTTGGGATCTGTGCCCTAAAATTTGATTTTGGGAGCTGTGGTGGCCCAAAATATACGACGGACAGACGGACGCCAAAGTGAAACTATAAGGCTTTCGGCCATGGGCCACGAAACCCTAAAAAACTGATGTTACATTTGTAATCAGCGACCCTGAAAACCCCTCAGTAACCGGTTTCAATCCAATCCGATTAATTTTTTATTTTGTTGTCCGCCATATTGGATCCGCCATTTTGAATTTTAAAAAACTTTTGTCACAATTCGTAATCAATGACCCTGAAAACCCCCGAGTAATAGGTTTTTAATACAATCCGATTAATTTTTTATTTTGTCTTCCGCCATATTGGATCCACCATTTTGAACTTTGAAAAACTGATGTCAGATTCGTAATCAGCGACCCCGAAAACCCCTGGGTAACATGGTTTAGACGAATTTGCCCATTTTTAGTTATTTTGATTCGGTATATTGGATCCGCCATTTTGAATTTTAAAAAACTGATATTGAATTCGTAATCAAGTCTTACATTTTTTTCAATTCTTTAAATCATAATAATATTAAAATGTTAATAAATTAAATTAATCTATTAATTTTATTGAACAAAATTATTTTTAATTTTAAGTGTGGTTTGTTTACATACTAGACAATAAGTTGTTGATAATACAAAAAGAAATACATGAAAATAAACAGTATAGGATGAAAACAGAAATTCGTGGAAATAATATAATATAATATAATATAATATAATATAATATAATATAATATAATATAATATAATATAATATAATATAATATAATATAATATAATATAATATAATATAATATAATATAATATAATATAATATAATATAATATAAAAATTATATATTATTGTATATTATTTTGTATGCATATTATTATTAGTATTATTATTATTCCATATATACTATATTATAATAGATAATACATAATAGATAAGTTTAAATTAATTGAACAATTTTTTTTCATGCGACACGACATATTTATGCAGAATTATCGTGTCGTGGCAAGTCATGATACGATACGATTCTCAAATTGTTAATGTGTCTAGTCGCGCTACGATACTTTTGGAAATTCGTAAACGTGTCCAGTCCTACCACGATACGATTACAAATTTCTAAACGTATCGTGCTTCGCCACGATACAATTATGAATTTCTTAACTGTGTCGGGTCGTGCCACGATACGTTTGAAAAGTTTTAAAAGTGTCGGGTCTCGCCACGATACTTTTAATTGTTTTCAAACGTGTCGAGTCGCGACACTACACGGACACTTTCTTAAAATTCAACAACATTTCGTGTCCGAGACAGTCCCTGATATAATTAATAAATTTTATTAATAATTATAATTAATAATAAAATAATTTTCATATTAAAATTAAAAAAAAAAAATTTCATTAAATTCTTTCTAAAAAAAAAAAATTAATTTTTAACGTGTTAAATATATAGAGAAAATTCATTATTATTATTTTTTCTAATTAAAATATGTGATTATTCTTTATAATAATTATTTATATTATTGTTTATTAATTTCTGATATAGTCTCTTTCTTTAAAACAAGTTTTTATTCTCTGTTATGTCTATCAAGAATGTCATAAAAAATGCTCAATGTCCAAAGTTACATGTAGAACAATTTTTTTTTTTTATATAAGATATTATATTTTAAATTATTGTCGATAAAAATGATTTTAAAAGAAAATGTTAATTTTTATATTCTTGAAAAAAAAACAAAATTGTCATACATTATAACAGAAATGGTAGCGTTGACAAATTAAAAAGAATTACAATAATTTATCAAGATTTTTTTTTTTTTCCTTACGAAAAGTGAAGAGAAAAAGCTAGAAAATTATTTTATTTAATTATTTATATTTTTAAAATAATTTTCTTATTATTATTATTATTATTTACTGTTAATAAATTAATAATTTATTTATTATTTAATTATAGTTAATTAATAATTTATTTATTATTTACTGTTTGTAGTTTGGGAATTAACGGCTCAGATATAATCTGGACCACACACGTGATGCTGGGAATAAAAAATTTAAAAAAAAAAATTAAAACGCTTTTATCAAAAAAAAAAAAAAAACATTAAAAGAAATTTTCAAAACATTTGTCGTGACAATTGACTTAAAAAAAATAATTTTTTTTATCGACGAGACGACATTAAGATTTTTTCATAAAAGTGGTGGGATATTTTTCATCTCTTCTCATGTGAGATTATAAAATATATGAAGATCCATGTCCTAACTATATGGCTATCATCGGAGGTGTTAAGCGGCATAGGTCATTCGCGCAACAAGGTTATCATAAGATTTTAAAAAAGGGGGGAGATTTTTGTGCGACGGCAACTTACTTAGGAAGTCAGTCTGTCGAAAACCTTCTTCATAGTTCGAATGTCAAAAAATTTATAAATTTTTAAAATTATTTTTTACCCAAAAAAAAAAAAATTCAAGTAATAAATTATCGATTAAAATTTAATTTTTTTTTCAATATTGGTTTTGTTTTTGAAAATTCAGAAGCAAAAAGAATTTTCCCAAAAAATGCCATTTTTGAAATATAATTTAAAATTGTAAGAAATAAATAGGATAATAAAAAATAAAATATAAAATAATAATAAATTCAAAGATAAAAAAATTTTTTAAACAAAATTTTACAATTGAATCTGAAAAAAATAATAATGTAAAAATTCATAAATGCAGATAAATAATTAAGGAATTGAAAATCAGTGAAAAAAATTGAAAATTTCTCAAAAGAATTAAATGGAAAAAAATTTTTTAATAAAAATCTAATTGGAAATTTTCAAAAACTGTGGAAAAAAAGAAATTGAAAGAAACAATATTGTAAAAGTGAAAAATAAAAGGAACAAAAGAAATAAAAAAAAGTGAAGAAAAGTGAAATTACATTATAAAAATTAGATAAATTAAAACCAAACAATGAGAGTAAAGAAATTTGAAAATTTTTCGAAAAACAAATAAAGTATAAAATAAAAACAAAAAAATAATTTTAATAAAAATTATTTAAATTACTCCAAATAAAAAAAAAAGTTTCCAAAGAATTAAAATCAATATTTCTGAGGAAAATTGAATTTTACAATTTATTTGTAATACAAAACCGGATTTTAATTTGTGAAAGAGGACAGAAAAAAAGGCAAAAAAAAAAAAATGGAAAAAGAAAATATGAAAAATATGAATCAATTATTAAGAAGTTGTTTAGTTTGGATAATAGCGTCAATTATTATATTTAGTACAATAATTCTTGTGATATTTTGGTTTACAAATATTTTTCACGATGCAATTATGACGGAATTACAAATAAAAAATGGAACAAATTTTTTTGACGTTTGGCAACGACCATCGGTACGTGTACAATATAAAATTCATCTATTTAATTACACAAATGTCGATGATTTTGAAAATAATCGTGCAAAAAAATTGAAAATTGAAGATATTGGACCATATATTTATCGTGAGACATTACAACGTGTTAATCCAATATTCCATAAAAATGGAACAATTTCCTATCAGGAAGTGAGATCATATCAATGGGAGGGTGGAAGATCGGATGAAGAAATTTTAGTTGTGCCAAATTTTTTATTATTTGCCGCAATGGCATATTTAAGGGATTATACATTTGTCTATCATATAACATTGACAACAATTTTACTTGGTTTAAGGGCAAAAAGATTTTTAAAACTTTCGGCCGGTGAATATTTGTGGGGTTATGATGATGAATTATTTAATTATGGAAAACCATTTATTTCAATGAAGCAACATATTCCATTTGATAAATTTGGTCTTCTTGCACTTGTAAGTAATTTTTTTTTTCATTTAATTTTTAAAAAATTATTTTTTTAATTTTTTCTAATAAAAACCTTTTTCTATAATTGTCTTTTTATTTTAAATTTATTTGCAATTATTTATAAGTAATTTTATTTATTTATTTTTAAAAAATAAAATTTATAAAAAAATAAATTTTATTCAAAATTAATAAAGTTTAAATCAAGTTCAATATTTTATAATTATTTTAAATAATTATTAAATAATTAATTAAATAATATAATAATTAAATTTAATAATAATAACAATTTTTCAAATAAAAAAAAAACTAATAATAAATAAATCTACACGTGTCGATAAATAATTAGATTTAAGATGCGTTTAGATTAAATTTTTTTTTTTTTAAATTACAAATAATATAAAATTATATTATTTCTTATAGAAAATTGCAAATGAAAATGTTAATCAGAAAAGTTTTTGTCCTAAAATTAAAAATTCGAACTATTTTTCTCCGCATAAATATTCTTGTATCAATTAAATGAAATCAATTAAAAATGAAAATTAGCGATGAACAGTGTTTAAAAAATAAAAAAAAAAGTGTATAAACAAAAGAGGAAAAAAGTGAAAAAATTGTTTAAGTCAAAATAATAAATTATTTTATACACACAATTATCAAACTAATAAATATTAATTTTTTTTTTGACAAAATAAATATTCAGTGGATAATATTTTTTAAAATAATTTTTTTTCAAGCTAGATAATAATTTGGTTCTTGAACAAATAAACATAATAAAATAAATTTTTTTCTCTAATTAAATTAATAATTAGAAATAATAAATAAAAAATAAAAATAAATAAATAAAATAATAATTAAATAATTTAAAAATTAATTAGAAATTAATAATTTTTCAATTAGTTAAATAACAAATTTACTCTTAATTTATTTTAGTATTTTAATTGAATGTTATTACTTTTTGTTTTAATAATCAATTTATATTCATTTATGGTTTTACTTAATCTACTTATCAATTAAATTTTTAAAAAATTTTCCCAGGAAAAATAAATTATAGCCATCAACGTCATCGATAACCTTGACTTTGATTTTCTTTTCTTTTTTTTTTTTTTTTAATAAAAATTAAAGTAAAATCATTCGATAAAACATAAATATTTAATAAATTAAAAAAATTATTTCATTTTTAAATTTTATTATTCTTTTGAGATTTTCTTTCTTTTCTTTTCTACACGTTGGAAAAAAATTTCGCTAAAAAATATTTAAAAATATTAAAAAAAATTATTATTAAAATTAAAATATTATCCATTAAAATCATAATGTCCTTAAATATGTATAATTTTGCATAAATAAAGTGCGCAATTATCATTTTCCCTATAACAAACAAAAAAAAAAAAAAAAACGTGGCAATGTTTTTGTTTTTGTACTTATATAAAATATCACTCATGGCATATGTAATTAACGATTAATAATTAATTTATGTAAATATATTTTGGTTTATTATGAATATGAGACGAAAAAAATTTTTTTTTTTATAGAAATCAGGCTTATCGAATGATCGATTTACAATAAATACTGGTGAAATGGATATGGATAAATTGGGAATTATTGAACGATTCAATGGAATGGAGAGCCGTAATGTATGGGGCGATGAGGAATGTGATAAAATTACTGGCACTGATGGAAGTTTATTTCCACCAAGACTTGTACGCGATCCAAATGCAACATTACATATTTATTTAAAAGAAATGTGTAGAACAGTTCCACTTAAATTTCACAGTCACGCAAGTGCACAAGGAATTCCCACCCAAAGGTATGGATTTTTAAATTAAAAAAAAAAAAAGAATTTTTCAATTTACAGGCCTCGAATCGACTTAAAGGCACAAAAAAAAGTTGTTTTAGTCGATTTATAATCCAAAAAAAGTCGAAAAAGTCAATTTTTTTTTATTTTAAAAAAAATATTTTACAGTTATTTAAATAAATTTTTTTTTTTAAATAATGATACTTTTGGAAGGGTTTAAAGTTGAAATTTTTAGAAATAATTGAATTTTAAAAAATTTTGTTAATTTTCAAACAATAATTAAATTTTACAAAACTAAAAAAATAATTTATCAAATAATTTCAGATAATATTTTTTAAATGTAATTCAAATTTTCAAAGATTTACAATTGAGATTTTTAAAATTCATTGAACTTCAAGTGATTTTTAATTAACAATTTTAGATGATTTCACTAAAAAATTTATTAGAAATTGCGGACAATAATACAATAATTTGAAAATCATTTTTAAATGAAAAATGGTTTCAGATAGTTGAATTTTCAAAGAATATTATTAAAATAGTTTTAAAAAATTGAATTTCCTTAGAGTTATAATTGAAATTGTTAAATTTTAGAAATAATTAAATTTTAGAAATTTTTAAATTCAAATTTTTGAAAATAATTGAATTATAATTGAAATTTTTTGGATAATAATTCAATTTTAGTTGATTTTTGATTGAAAATTTTGATAATAATTAATTTTGCATTAAAATTTTTGAGAATAATTGAATTTTAGTTGATTTTGAATTGAAAATTTTGAAAATAATTAAATTTTAGTTGATTTTTGATTGAAAATTTGGAAAATAATTGAATTTTAGTTGATTTTGAATTGAAAATTTTGAAAATAATTAAATTTTAGTTGATTTTTGATTGAAAATTTGGAAAATAATTGAATTTTAGTTGATTTTGAATTAAAAATTTTGAAAATAATTGAATTTTCTTTAAATTTGAATTGAAATTTTGGGAAATAATTGAATTTTAATTGAAATTTTGATAATAATTAATTTTTAATGAAATCTTGGATAAATATTGAATTTTAATTGATTTTGAATTGTAATTTTGGGTAATAATTGAATTTTATTTGATATTAAATTAAAAATTTAGAAAATAATTGAATTTTAAAAGATTTTGAATTGAAAATTTGGAAAATAATTGAATTTTAGTTGATTTTGAATTGAAAATTTTGAAAATAATTAAATTTTAAAAGATTTTGCATTGAAAATTTGGAAAATAATTGAATTTTAGATGATTTTGAATTGAAAATTTTGAAAATAATTGAATTTTCTTTGATTTTGAATTGAAATTTTGGGAAATAATTGAATTTTAATTGAAATTTTGATAATAATTAATTTTTAATGAAATCTTGGATAATTATTGAATTTTAATTGATTTTGAATTGTAATTTTGGGTAATAATTGAATTTTATTTGATATTAAATTAAAAATTTAGAAAATAATTGAATTTTAAAAGATTTGGAATTGAAAATTTTGAAAATAATTGAATTTTTATTTGATTTTGAATTGATTTATGATTTTGAATTAAAATTTTTTGATAATTTTTTTTTTTTTTTTTTTAAATTATAAATAATTGTTAAATTTCATAAAAATTTTAATTGAAAAATAATTTTAAATAATTGAATTTGTGATGAATTTCATTAAAATTATTAAAAATAATTAATTTAGTGAAGAATTTTAGTTAAAAATTTGTTAAATATTTGAAATAAAGAAGATCTGAAGAAGATCTGCATTTAATACTAAAAAAATATATTTTATTTAAAAATTTGTTTAAAAAATGTAAAAAAAAAAAGTCGAAATAGTCGCATATTATTAAAATAAGTCGAAAAAAAGTCGAAAATAGTCGAAAAAGTCGTATAATCCGAGGCCTGAATTTATTTTTGAAAAAAAAAATTTTTTTGCACTCAAAATAGAAAATTTAAATTTAAAATTAATTAATTATTTCTGATTATAAATTATGAAAATTATATATAATAAAAAATAAATAAATTTTTATTTATTATTATAAATTAAAAAAAAAATTTTAATAATTTTTATTATTATTATTGTTATTATTATTATTATTATTATTAACAAAAAAATTATTATTTTTAATGTCTATTACCTAATTAATTATTAGTCATTAGCTAATTGTTATTTAAAATATTTTCAGATATGTACTCGAGGATGACATTTTCACAGCATCCGAGACGAAAAATTATTGTTTCTGTGAAAAATCTGAAGATGACGATAAAAAAGTATCGAAAAAATCAGGATTATGTCCACCAATGGGAGTTTTTAATGCCTCGGCGTGCAATTTTGGAATGCCAACATTAACATCTTTTCCCCATTTTTATCAAGGTGATAAAAGTTTAATTGAACAATTCGATGGTCTCAAACCACAAAAAGAACTTCACGAAAGTTTCATCGATTTGCATCCAGTGAGTAAAAAAAAAATCAGACAATTTTAAATCTTAATTTTTAAAAAATTGTTTGAAATTTTTTTTATTTTAAAAAATTGTTTTATTAATTTAAAACAATAGTTTTTTTTTAAAAAAAAAGTCTAAAAATTATTTATATATATTTTTATCGAATTTTTATGTGTGAAAAAAAAATTTTTATATTATTTATATATATTTGTTCTACATTGTCTCAACTTGAGTGATTAATAAATTTTGATTGCATTGAAAAAATATTTTTTACAAGGTTGAATGAATAAAAATGTTGAAATTCGATTAAACGGAAATTTTTTTATAAAAAAAAAAAAAAAAATGTAAGCATAATAATATAATTTCTGGTGGTAAACATCAAGTGGCACCACTTTTTCTGTAAACATATCGAAGAATGATAAAATGATAAATTATTATCACCATCGTATGATGTCTTCGTTTACGGTGTTTTTTTTTTTTTTTTTTTTAATAAATTATAAATCAAATTCATTTTCAAATTTTCTGTAACAAAAAAAAATTTTTTTAATTCTTGATATTAAAAATTATTTTCTTTTTGGCAATTGATAAATAAGGTATTATTAAATATTGAAAAGAGACAAAAACAAAAATAATTTTTCCTAATTTTATTTTTAGTGAAAACCTTTTTACTATTTCTACATTTTTCCTTTTATGATTTTTCGCCACAGTTTTATATTTATTTATTTATTTATAAAAAAAATATTTTTTTTAAACTAATTTTTTTTAGAAAATTTTTTTAATTAATTAAAAAAAAATTTTTTTCAGCACTTGGGCGTTCCAATTGGTGGACATTCGCGTATTCAATTAAATTTGGAGGCTCGAAAAGCAGCTGGAGTGCCATATTTTGGAAATATGAAAGACGGTATGATTTTACCACTTATGTGGATGGAAGCGTCAATTGAAAATATTCCCGAGCCTGTACACAATTTATTATCACACGCATATTATACTGTCAATATTATTGATCAAACATTTAAATGGGGTAGCATAATTTCTTTAATTTTATCAATAGCCACTCTTTATCATCTTTTACGAAAAAAACAATTAGACGACCATATTGTTTTACATAGAAATACTTCAGGTCAAAATCCACTTCTCTAATGAAAATACCATTTATTTTTTCTTTTTTTTTTTTTAATTTTTTGTAAAATTAAATTTTCTATTTATAATTTAAATTAATAAATTTTTACCATTTTGATAAATTTAAAATTTATAAATTAAATTTTTTTTAAATTTAATATTTAAAAATTTTTAAATTAATAATTTAAAAATTTAAAAATTTATAACTTTTAAACTTATAATTTTAAAATTTGTAAATTAAACTTTTTTAAATACAATTTATTACACATATATTTTGAATAAGAAAAACAAATTTAATCGCTGGAACGATTTTAATAATACATTTTCTTCGCATATTGTTATTATTTTTTTTTATTGTAGGTACGTTCTAGATACCTATTAATAATGAAATTAATTTAAAAAAAGAATAATTTAGAGAATACTTAAATTTATAAATGTCATTAATGAAAAATTTTAACGAGATAAATTATTTAGTTTGAGAAAAATCAACTCTAATTTATTGAAATATTGAGAAAATATAAATAAAACACGATTTATAATAAACAATATAAATTATATATATAAATGATAAATAACGTAAATTGTTTAAAAATAAAAAAAGAATATTAATATACGTAATAATATTTTTTTAAATTTAAATTTAATAAATGTAATCTATGGACAAATTTTTAAAATTACAAAATTGATTTTATTTATATTTTATTTAAAAAAAAAATTGTCAATAAAATAAATTAAATTAAATTAAATGTAATATTCAATTATTTGCACTGCATCAAATGCAATATAAAAAAAATAATTAATTTGAATATAAATAAAAATTAATTATTAATAATTAATTAATTATTTATTTATATACTATTTATTTATTATCATTCCACGTGGAAGAATTTCTGAAAAAATTAAAATAACAGAATTTGAATAAATTAATTGCATAAATGGATAAATTGAAAAAACCATTATAAATTATTTTAAAAAATTAAAATTTTTAATTAAATAAATTAAATCATTAAAATAATTTTTTTTTAAATAATTAAATAAACAGAAAGTAAAATATTTTATTGACAACAACTTTTTATTTAGTATTTCACTGATAGTATTATCATTATCAAAAAAAAAAAATATTATTGTCATTAACTTTAAAACCTTATTTATTTTAATTATACACTCAATATATTAGAGAGGATTTTTCTTTATATTTTTTCCCCAATTTTTTTTTTTTTTCACAAAAAACATAGAATTCCTATATATATATATATATATATATATATATATATATATATATTTTTTTTTTTTTTTTTTTTTTTTTTTTTTTTTTTTAAATGAAAAAGAAAATGGATAACGCAAATTCGAGCACAATTGTGATCTAGTTTATTTTAATTAATTATTAATTCTTAATTAATGTATATGCTCAATTAAGAAATAATGCGCCTGATCTAAGACTGTTTCTTTTATATTAATAAATAAGCTACTTAATTATGCTAAGAAAAATATTTCATTAGATGGGGCTAATTTTGTTATAAATAGTTTAAAATAATTTTTTTTTTAAATTTGTTTCTCTGAAATATTAAAACATTATAATGTATATTAAAAAATATTTATTTAAGTAATATTTAATAATTGTTAAAAATTAAATAATTAATATGTAACTTAAACTATAATAATTATGTTATTAATTATAAAATTTATCCTCACTGGATTGTAAATACATATATTAATTAATATATTGTATATTTAATATATAGTATATGAATATTTAATATATAGCATATTAATATTTAATATATTAATATAATAAATATTTATTGTATGTAAATACAAATATAAAATAATAAATTTTATTCCACAAGAAAAAATGAAATTTAATTTATTTTTCTTAACTAAACAATAAATAATGAACTAATAATGAACTATACAATAACTTGAATGAATTAATTTGAAAATTAAACAATAAACCAATCTTTAGAAGAAAGGTCAATTTTTTTTACGATAATAATTTTTTTAGGTTTCAAAGATAATAAGTTTTTCCGGAAAAATATTGATAGAAATTTTTATTGTATTACTTATCTTTTATGTCATTCATTCATATTTTAATTTCAGAGGCATTTGAAAAATTACTGATCATGATTGTCAGGGTTATCATATTTAGCAACAAGATTTTAATCTTATTTATCATTTTGTAATTTTACATATAAAAATTTATTTTTTAAGTAACACATATCGCTCTTAGTTGCATTATATTACAAACAAAAATCACTATTTTATTTTCATAATAAATTTAATTTATTAATATAAATATTTTAAGATAAATAAATTATTATTATTATTTTTGTTCATTATTTATTTAATTATTATTCTTAATTAATTATTTATTCTAATTCGTAAATAATAATTATTAATTAAATTAATTATTCTTGAAAAAAGTTTCCAAAAATTAATAGGAAAGGATAAAATATATTCTTATAAGAATTAAATTTGAAATTATTTGGCATCTTTTGATCTTTATTGTACAAAAAAAAAGTAGATTTACCTATTGGATTTTATGCCTACAATTAATTATATAATAAAACATATACAAATAGATATTAATATAATATTATAGTCGGACGGAGAGCATTATTTTTTTTTCTAATTTCAAACGTGCAAATATTTGTTATAATTAATCATTTTTTATAAAATATATTTTTGCATAATTGCAAATAAAAATTCACACTCTAATATTATAATTATTTGTTTACAAATAAAAATTATTTTTATAAAATTATACATTGAAAAAAAAATTATTTAAATCAAATATTTTCTTCAATGGCTGCATTTTATTTTTTCTTGAAAAATTTACAAAAAAATAATAACATTTACACTCCCCGTAATCTAAATGAATAATTAATTTATTAAATTATATGCAATTAATTAACTAATTGTTTCATTAATTATTTTTTTCTTAATTATTTCGTTTATTAAATTCTTAATTAGTCAACATAATTATTCAGTTAATTAAACCATTGAATTTAATTAATTAGTCAATTAATTAACAATGTTGTTAATTAATTTCTTATTTAATTAATTACTCAATTAATTAACAATTGAGTTTGATTAATGGATCAATTAATTAACAATTAAATTAATTAATTACTCAATTAATTAACAATTTAGTTAATTAATTATTCAATTAATTAACAACTAAATTAATTTCTGTAATAATTTTCAACTATTATAAAGTTTAATATTTCTTGACACTTTAACCCATTTCCAAGAAACGATACAAGGTCAATAATTAAAAACGATCGACGGCTAATACAATCAATTTTCATAAAGTCAAAGAACATGCGTTATTTTATTTGTTATAATGAAAAAAATCCAATAATAGTGTATTATTTTTTTACAATCAATTTTCACATTTGCAAAAAAATCAATATTTGTATTTTAATTTTTTTTTTCCTACTATTTCTGAATAGTAGAAATAAAAAAAAACTTTTTTTTAATAAAAAATATTTATTAATTATTACGTTAAAAAAAGACGAGGAAATTTTATTAAAATTATATTATGTAAAAAAAAATGTTTTTTTTTTTAATGACAAAAAATGCAGATATACAAAATTTGTGTTGACTATATAAACGTTATCATATATTCATATCGCTATTCGCGGGTCAAATTGATGAAAATGTTCCTCGAAAAGAGAACTGATGATACACTGTGCAAAAATAATGTATTATTTTATCATTTTATATATGCGACTATAAAACATTTAATCTGGATTTTGCTTATTATGTTGAATTAAAAATATTCGTATTTTTAACTTTTAACATGAGATTATTTCCAAATGATTTTTTAATAATCTATTCACGATAAAGTTTCAGAGACTATAAAATATATTTTCCTTCAAATGATCGATTTAAGAATAATAAATTATATTATTTTTTATCTTGCAAAAAAAAACAAACTTTTATCAGTAATTTTGAATGTATAAAATTTCAAAAAAAAATGCATTTCTGAGAAAATAAAAATGTAAATTTTTATATTCAGATTGATTTTAAAAAAAATTATTAATATAATTTAATTATAATTAATTAATAATTTAAGTAGAAATGTTTTTTGATTTTTTTTCATACATAATATAATTATTAATGACAATTTTTTTTAACTAATATTATGGAAATAATTATTCATCATTAATTAATTCATTTTAAATAATTATTACTTGTAATTATTTAATTATTTAATAATTAAATTTTAGAATTAAATTCCATAAAGCGCGTAAAAATGACTTTCAATTTTATAAAAATCAATGAAATACCATTTCCTTTTATTTATTGATTGATTGATTCTGTAACGTTATTCGAATTTAAATATTGACTTTTTTTCCATTTTGGGGTTCAAGAGTCAAATCTCTGTTTACCGAAAGGAGTGTAAAAAAACCTGTTGTCCTTCGAATTCTTGTAATGTATGAGTCTAGTTTTATTTTTTTTTTTTTGCATATATGCAGCGTAAATGATAAATTAAAACAGGATTTAGTTTTATATATATATTGATAGATCAAAGTGATTGTATAAAAGAATCTTATATATATATATATATATATATATAAAAAAAGATTTTTCTTATTGTAATAATTATGGAATGTTTATAATATGTACAATTCATTATTTATAATAACAATTATTAATCAATAAGTAAAATCCTAATCGTCCAACTAAATATGATGGCTTCACAATTATTTTATATCATTCATCGAACAATCCTTATCTTATATAACAATTTTTCTAATTTGGTTTTAATTTATAATCTTTACTTTAAACTTAATTGCTAATTTTTCTTAATCAATTTTTTTATTTTAATTTTCAATTTTCCTTCTTTTATATTGAGAATGAATGCTTAAATGTTGCATCATAAATTCCATTTCACTTTTTTTTTGCATATTAATTATTTCCTATAAGAAACTAATTTCTATATGCAGAATTTTTTTTAACAAAAAATAACAATTAACATTAATAATTACAGTTTAAAAAAATAATCAAACTGGTACTTAAAATAATAACAATTACCTTTTTTTTTATTCATTTTTTTATATTTCTAATTTTTGTTGAGTAATTGTTATTTTTTTATACTTTCTTCGGTTTTTTTTTTTTTTTTTTTTTTTTTGAGTAATTTGTTACTCTTTGAATTAATTTTATTTCTGAATTATTATTTTCTTTGATGTTAATTCAATTTTTTTTATAAATAAATGAATTGAAAATTAGGCACATAATTATATGAGCATTAAGAACTATAATATTTGAGCAATTGTTCTTTAATAGTAAGTGCAAAATAAATAAATTATAGTTAAAAAAAATTTTTTATGAAAAATCTGAATTTTTTAAATTCAAATCTGTTTTCTATTAATATTATTGAAAACTTTTATAGTATAAATTTAATAATTTAATATTGGAAATTTAATAATATTGTACATGTAAAAAAATTAATTTACCAATTTAAAATTTAAAATTACAAATTGAAAATTTACAATAACAATATTGAAATCAATAAAGCTATAAAAATCCTAATAGAAATATATAAATATGAAAATAATAAAAATTTAAAAAAAAAAGTGTTCATTTGCGTCATCAAAATTTTACATTAATAAAAAAAAATTCCGATATCAAAACATTAAAGTTTTTTAACATTTTTTTCCTGAATGGAATAAATTAAAAAAATGTTTCTTTTTAGATCAATTCCCTATTTTGATCTTTCTTTTTAGAAACTATATTTTTTTTCAATAAATAAAATTATTTACATACAATTATTTAAACATTTTTCCTTTTTTTTTTTGGGGGGGGGGTTTATCATCACACTGAGAATCAAAATTTCATTTTTCTAAATAGGTAATACTAATTAAATTTCTCAATTTTGTTTTAATTTCATTATAGGAATTGAGTTTAAAAATTTTCCGAAATAAAAAATTAACTGAAAAATTTGTAATTAAAAATTAAAATTCTTAATTAAAATATTCAAATAATTCGAAAAATGATAATTATATAGCCTTTATAATGAATAAAAAATCATTATCATGCAAATGGAATATTCCAGAAACAGAAAATCTGTTTACAACGTGATTAAAAAAAAAAAGGAAGAAAAAAAAATTTGGAAATGATGCGACATTGAAGATTCAGTCTCGAATAAAAAAGAAAAAAAAAAAAAGGTGAAATCTTCACGCATGAAACCCGTTCATCGTTCGAAAGGACGAAAAATAATATCAAAAACATATAATTTATATTTATAATAATATCAATGAAATGAGCATATTGAGTCCTTTCTGATAAACGACTTTGGGGATTCGAAGGAGAAAAAAAAAAAAAAAAAAAAAAAAAAAAGCAGAGGGGAAAAATAAATATCACGTCATGTAGACTACACGATACGAGTTTTACAAGAGACGAAAAGAGTGGTAAATTTGACCGCGAGGCGCCAATGACGCGCGTTAAGGGTAAAAAAATGAAAGAAATTAGTCCAAAGCAAAACATCACCACGACACACACCGGTTCGACCGGTAATCGCGCAGAGAAAACTGCCGAAGGACTTGTTCACTCATGTCTCGAAGTTAAAAGTATTAAAAAAGAGAGAGAAAAAAAATACAAATTTTATGATAGCGAGATAGCAACATAAGATCGTAAAAAGCTCTTTTTCTCTCTTTCTCTCTCTCTCTCTCTTTCGAAATTCTGGGAAATTAATTTCTTTGAGGTTCATCTTTCTTTTTTTTCTTTTTTCTATTTTGGATTTTGAAATGCTGGATTTAATTGATCATTTTTAGTCGCACTTGGTGGTAATGGCGTTGTTAAATGTAATTTTTCTTGACGTTTTGCCGCTCTTGCCAAACAAAATAATGCACCAACGAGAATAATTAAACCAATAATTCCCAATGCACCGCAAACTGCCGCTCTTGCAACTGGTGGAAGTTCCACGGCCAATCTTAATAGCGATATAACTTCCTTTGGCAATTCATCAATTCCCTGCAAATAATAAATTTTATCAATAAATTTGCAAAATAAAAAAATATTTACAAATAATTTCGAAAATATATATTTTTTTTTTCAATAAACCACAATAAAAAATATTTATAAATAATAATTTTCCAAAATATAAAATAATTTTGTCAATTTTTCTCAATAAAAAATAAAAAAAAAAAATTTTTTTTTTGAATTTTTTTCTAAATAAAAATCTATTTACAAAAAAAATTTATGTGGAAAAAATTATTGTTATTGAAATTATTAAAATGTAAAATTGAGAAATTAAAAACGATCGCTCTCGTAAATTGAATATCGATGAAAATTTTCATACTCTCTGCATATAATTAAAATTTAAGATGCAAGTCAACTTGCAATGCAATTTATCCTTCTCTTTCTCTCGATGATTTTTATCATCTGCACATGATGGGAATTCACTATTACTCAACATATACTATATACTTGAAAACAAGTTTTTCGTTCTCAGAAACTGACACCGAGCTCGAGAGTTCATCCAGCTTCTTGTAAATACTTTTATATTTTATATTTTTATTAAAGTGTAAGTAATTTCATTGCAAATATTACAATTCTATTATTTTTTCCTATTTTTTTGCTTTCTCATACAGGAAGTAATAAAAAACCTAAATTATACTAAATAATTAAAAAAAAAATAAATTGATTTTAAAATAAACAAAATTTTTTTAGAAAAATTAAGAAAAATTCTAAAGAAAATACTTACGTCCTCAAACCACATAATGGGGAAAATGATGTCGGGAAAGTTAGCGACCTGCTTGATGTCTCTTACTTGGCTTACGGCTAAATTAATTTGAACTCGGGCCCTTGCCCTCAGAGCTGTGCCCATTGTTGGTTGGACATCAATAAAAAGTTGATGTTTTTCTGCATCAGGCGGAGACACACCAATTACTGCTTCTCGTAACGAGGGATCCGCTAAAAAAAAAAAAAATTTATTACATACTATTAAAGCAAAAAGAAAAAAAAATTTCTTTCCTTATTTTCAATAAAATCATTGTAAATAATTCCATCTCATCATTTATTTTATGCTTTTTCAGAATTTTTAATTAATTACTTTTTTTAACATTAAAATTTTTTTTTCTATTCATTAAAATTAATATTAATTACACAAATTTGATTATTAACGATTTCAAAAAAATTTTTTTATTAAATTTAAACTAAATAAAAAATATGTTAACAAAAATTAATAATTTATTACTAACTAGCAAAATTAAACGCGCCAAATTAATTATTTAATTTTTTGTTCTAATGAAATTAAAGATTAATATTATCAATAATAATTTAATTTATTAGAATATTATTACATATTAAATTTGATAATAATGAAAATTATATGTTTACAGGCCTCGGATTATACGACTTTTTCCGACTTTTTTCAAAAATACGACTTTTATCGACTTATTTTAATAAAATGCGACATTTTTTTTTTATATTTGAAAAGAGAATGTAAATAAAATACATTTTTTTAATATAAAATGTAGATCTTCAGATCTTCTTCAATTCAATTATTTAACAAATTTTGAACTAAAATCATTCTTCACTAAATTAATTATTTTTTAATAATTTTAATGAAATACATCACAAATTCAATTATATCAAAATTATTTTTCAAATTAAAATTTTTATAAAATTTAACAATTGTTTATAATTTAAAAAAAAATATCACAATAAAATTGAATTATTTTTTAAAAATTTCAATTCAAAATAAACTAAAATTCAATTATTACCCGAAATTTTAATTCAAAATCAATTAAAAATCCAATAATTATCCACAATTTTCAATTTAAAATTTAATTATTTACCAAGTTTTCAATTTAAAATGAAATAAAATTCAATTATTTTCTAAAATTTCTATTCAAAATTAATTATCCAAATTTTCAATGAAAAATGAATTTAAATTAAATTATTATCCAAAATTTCAAGTAAAATTCAATTATTTCCCAAAATTTTCAATTCAAAATGAACTGAAATTCAATTATTTTCCAAATTTAAAATCAAATAAAATTTAATTATTCTCAAAAATTTGAATTCAAAATTAATTGAATTTTCAATAATTTGAATTTAAAAGCATCTAAAAGTTAATTATTTCTAAAATTTTCCATCGAAATTTTTTTTTTTTAAATTTAATAATTTCAATTATAACTCTAAGGAAATTCAATTATTTTTAACTATTTTAATAATATTCTTTGAAATTTCAACTATCTAAAACCATTTTTCAATTAAAAATAATTTTCAAATTATTGTATTTTGTCCGCATTTTCTAATAAATTTTTAGTGAAATCATCTAAAATTTTAATTAAAAATCACTTAAAGTTTCAATTAATTTCAAAAATCTCAATTTTAAATCTTTGAAAATTCAATTAAATTTAAAAAATGTTTTCCAAAAATTGTTTGATAATTTTTAGTGCTGTAAAATTTAATAATTGTTTGAAAATTAACAATATCTTTTGAAATTTAACTATTTCTAAAAATTTCAACTTTAACCCTTCGAAAAGGATTATTATTAAAAAAAAAAAATTTTATTTAAAAATCTGTAAAATATTTTTGTTAAAATAAAAAACAAATCCACTTTTTTTTGGAATATAAATCGACTAAAACGACTTTTTCTGTCTTTAAGTTGATTCGAGGCCTGTGTTTTTATAATTAATATTTAATAGGTATTCGTTGGCCCCTGGTACCTTAAAAATTAATTTTTAAAAATAAATTTTTTTTTAAATTACTATCTTGTACGAAATTTCCTGGCGCATCTTTTTTCTCATCATAAATTTTTTGTATTTTTATACAATTTTTGAATCAATATACAAGTTTAAAAAAAATTTCGTTGGTAAACGTTGTGTACTTAAGCTTCGTGAATTGAATTTTCGAATTTGGAATTTTAAAGAAGAATTGAATTTTCGAATTTGGAATTTTAAAGAAACTTATTTCGAAATTTGGAAATACAATTATACAAATTTGGGAAAAATGAGAAAAAGAATTGTCAAAATTTGACACGTCATAAGATTACTATTCAAAAAAGCACGTGAAATCAGAAAAGGCCAACTTCAAGTTAGGACATAAGGACAGACCAAGCATTTTATTATCATATAATTACTATTAATTATTATTTTTATTATTATTAATATTATTATTATTATTATTATTATTATTATTATTATTATTATTATTATTATTATTATTATTATTATTATTATTATTATTATTATTATTATTAATATTATTATATAATTGTTATTATTTTATTATTTCACATACTTAAAATTTCAAATATATAAGGGGGAAAAAATTCGAAAAATTATTTGAATAATTCATTGTGTTTTTGGAATAATGTGTTTTATTAAGAGAGATGCAAATTGAGAGAGGTTGATTTGTTCACATATGTATATATATATATATATATATGAAGAGAATTATATATTTCTCATATGCGAACAAATTACGAAAGTCACGTTATTACAAGGAAATTCCCCCCTCCCGTCACTAGAAAGAGATAAAAAAAAAATAACTTTCTAAAATCTCAGATGTACTTAATGTTTTAAACATGAATCTCATAAGAATTATTTCAGTAAGATGTTCCAGTTTTTCTTTTGTCACAAGTTGACAGTGCGGGCATATTAACATTGACGTTCCACTTTGTTTTCTTTTTTTTTCTTTTCTTTTTTTTTAGCAAACAAAAGTCATATTCAAAAGAAAAAATTGCAAAATGTTTATGCTTCTGTTTTCTTTTTTTTTTTCTTTTTTTGCATGAAATTGTTGTTTTTTTTTTATTCAATTGATTTCTTCGATTTTTATTTATTTTATTTTTTTATTTAGTAAATTAATTTAATTATAATAATAAATGGAATTTTGATTATTATTGTTAAATTTTTAAAAAATTAAATTAAATTAATCATAATTTCTATTTAAAAATAAATAAAAATAATGAATGTATATATAGAAAAAATAAAAAAATATATTAAAAAACTAATATTTACATACTATAGAAATAATATAGTTTATGTATTATGTAATTAATTGAATTATTAGCACAAAAGTGTAAGAAAAAAAAAAGTGTCTTTATATACTATAATAAAAGGGAAAATTTATTAAAATCTTCATTATATATATATATATATATATATGAGAAAAAATTTCTCATCACAAAAGACGAATACTCGTGTGACTATCAGTTTGCGTTCTCTCACGTGTCATGATTGTTTGTTAAAAAAAATAGGTCTTTGGGAGAGAATAATTGTAAATTATAAAGCCACTTTTTTTGGGGGGGGGTGGGGTTAATGGTGATAGAGGGGGGGGGGGATTTTGTGAAATCGGAAATGCACATAGATTACGAAAGTCATATATATATATATGTGTGTATATACGCGAGATAATTTTACGCGTCTACGAGCTGCAATTTCCGCTTCAGATACACACGCGATTCCGTATAATGTGCTTTATTCACATCAGTGACTCCTCCCTTGGACAAAAAAAAATAAAAAAAAATTACAAAAAGTATCAATTTTTTTTAATCACTCATTTAAATGACATCCTTAGGTACTGATTTTTTTATTTTTACAGAGGGAAAATAATATTTCAAATGTTATACTTCCGTTTCCGAAGAAATAAATCAGGAAAAATAATCATTAATAAAAAAAAAATACGAATTTAAATAATATTTCAATTAAAATTAAATTTAAAAAAAAATAATTGGAGACAAAATTTATCAACAAAAAAATACTAAGGATAACAAAACAATTAATAATAATAATAATAAAATCAATAATAAATAGTCATAACTAATTATTATTATTTATTATTAATATTTTTTAAATAACATTAATAATAATAAATAATAATAATTTATTTTTTTATTTTTTTTATTAATTATAGTTCAAATAAATAATTATTATTTTTTTTATGGTTAATGAAACTAATTAAAAGAAGTATAAAAGAATTATTATAATTACCAAGATAAAAATGTGGAAAACTGAGAAGAACAGGTGATTCGTATTGACATAGTGAGACATTGAAAGTTCCTTCAGGAGCACAGGGTGGACCAGCTGGACAAAAACATTTATTCGATTCCATTCTTTCAGCGGATGCGAAGACATCTTTGGGCGGTGTGAACCTGTATCCAGGAATTCCTCCAGAAGTAATTACTTCTTTCTGCGAAGAAAAAAAAAAAAAAAAAATTAGAAAAAAAATTTAACATTAAAATGACATTCCATTTTATTTATATATGTATGTACCTGAAAAAATCCCAACTAAAATAAAAAAATAAGAAAATATTCTCACAAAAAAAAAAAATTTACAAAATTGATTTCATAAATAAATATTATTATTATTATTATTATTAATTATTTATTTATAATTGTAATTTTTTTGTTATTATTTTTTATAAATAAATTTAATTATTATCATTGCACAAAAAATAAAAACAAAAAAGATCTCGAAAAAAAAAACCTCCTCCAATGTAAAGAGAGTATATCTAAAAATAAAAATTTTATAAATAACAATCATGAATAAAATATGAAGATTTATAATTTGTAATCTTGGTAAGCTTCTTTTTCAAAAAGAAAAAAATTAGCATAATTCATTTATATATGAATTTAATCTTGATTTGCAATTTTCAATATATATATATTGTATATAAAAGTGATAATAATCAGGAAATGGAATTTTGTCAGACTAATAAATCTTTCCCCTTCCCTCTACATTAATTTTTACGGTTCCAATAAAAATGCAATAAAAATCATTATTATTGTTTCCGCAATATCAATGCGCGTATAATTAATACTTGAGGAATATGTATAGCTAAAGTTCAAGATTTTGAACCCTAGAAACTTCTTCTTTTTCTTCTCTCCCATTAATTTCTTAATTTTATTGCAATTTTTATGGAAGCGTTTGAATAATTGCCACTTGTCTTTTTATATTAACGTTTTGTTAATAAATAAAAAAAAAAAATAAAAATAGTAATAATAATAATAATAATAAAAATAAATATTTTCTAAAAAAATATCAAAAATTTATTTTATTTATTTATATTAAAAAAAAGAAAAGAAACAAAATCATACTTTTTATTTATTATTATTACAATTATAATAAAAAATTTTTATTTTATTTTTTTTTAATTTTTATTTCGCGTTTCAGTAAAGATTTGATCTTAAACGCCATGTGGTAATTGTGGATCGTGTTTACGTGTCCTTGTTGTGGTTATAAGGCACTTTGTAATTTACAAACTGTCATTTTCACCACAATAAGACAATTTTTAAATGTTTTTTTTTCTTTTAAATATAATATGCCGTTATTCATATATTTTTAAATATAAAACTTTCTCTAAGTTTTTTAATTATTATGCTATAAAGAAATTAATCCACTTGAAAAAAAGTGAAAAAGAAACTATATTAAAGAAATATTATTATAATTGTGAATGAACTCCATATTTAATGAATTAAATTTTTAACTTAAACATTTTAAATAAAAAAAATAAATTAAAAAATTAATAATTATGCGAAAAATATTTTCTTGGAAAATTTATATATATATATTTTTTTTTTTTTTGTTAAAGAATACTTTTGAACTTTGAGATATTAAGCATTTTTCATGAGAATAAATGCTTTTTCATGTCTTGTTATTTTAAGTGTTTACATATTTAATGAGGAAAAAAAAGACGTTTTAATTGCTAAAATAATATATATTTAAAAATAATTCCAATTATAATATATGACGTTAATGCGGAAAAAACTGACTTTATTTTTTCAAATTTTTTTTTAAAAAGAAACAATGTTGTAGAGTTTTTTTTTCTGTTTGATAAATTCGCTAAGACAAAAAAACCCCCCCTCGGCAATTATTTAAACATATTTCTTTTTTTTTTGTAAACTAGTGAAAAATTTAAATAATTTAACAATTTTTATTAAATTCATATTCAATATCAAAATTATTCAATTTTTCTTCTTAATTGTATATACCAACATTTTTTTGTTGTATATTTTTTATATTGCAATTCTTAATTTTTCGAAAAGAAAAATAAAATTATTAATAATTAAAAATAAAAATTCACCTGAAATACAAGAGGCAATGCTCTACAGAGATCCTTGTCAAATACTTTGAGCACTGTATTTTTGGTAATATGAGGTGGGAAAATGCTACCATCAGTTCCCATAACACTATCACATTCATCAGTTTTCCAATGACCTAAATTTAATTTTCCATTCCATTTTTCTAACATTCCATATTTTGTGATATCAGATTGACCAGTGAAAATTGTATAATTATCAGGTGATGTACCATTTTTACCATAAAGTAAACCAAATTGATCGTATGGCAATTTTTGTTCTTTTGGCACAACATCTTTGGCTAATTTTAATAGAGGATCTTCATAACCCCAAAGAAGTTGACCAACTGATACCTCAACGAATGGTTTAATTTTTAAAATATCCAAAATTGATGCCATTGCCAATCGAAGAAATCGTGCCGCGTGTTTCGATTGTGTTGTGGCTGATAACATTGGTACATTTGGCACAACCACCAAATCATCCTCTAATCCCACTGATAATTCCTGTAAATTAATTTTTTTTCTGTTAATTACGATAAAATGATTTAATTACTGTTTTGATTCTGAAAGGCAAAACAGTTTTCATTCTGATTCCGAAACCCAATTTGTATATATAGTTCTGATTCTGATTTTGATTCTGTAACCCAAATCAAATATTCGTACGGTTTTGATTTTGATTCTAAAACTGAAATAAAATATTTTTACATATAGTTTTTATTCTAATTCCGAAACAATTTTAATTCTGATTTTGAAACCCAATTCAAATGCTTGTACAGATTTGATTTTGAATCTGTAACACAAATTAAATATTTGTACAAATTTCATTATGATTTTGAAACACCAATCAAATATATGTATACAGTTCTGATACGGATTTTGATTCTAAAACTCAAATCAAATATTTGTATACAGTTCTGATTCTGATTTTGATTCTGAAACCCAAATTAAATATCTGTATACAATTCTGATTCTGATTTTGATTCTAAAACCCAAATTATATATTTGCACAAATTTGATTCTAATTCTAAAACCCAAATCAAATCTTTGTATACATTTCTGATTCTCATTTTGATTCTGTAACCCAAATCAAATATCTGTATACAATTCGAATTCTCGATTCTGATTTTGATTTTGAAACCCAAATCAAATATTTGTATACAATTCTGATTTTGATTCTAAATCCCAATTCAAATATCTGTATACAATTCGAATTCTGATTTTGATTCTAATTTTGATTTTGAAACCCAAATCAAATATCTGTATACAATTCTGATTTTGATTCTAAAACCCAAATCAAATATCTGTATACAATTCTGATTTTGATTCTGGAACCCAAATCAAATATATGTATACAATTCTGATTTTGATTCTGAATCCTACATCAAATATCTGTATACAATTCCAGTTCTAATTCTGATTTTGATTCTAAAACCCAAATTAAATATTTGCAAAAATTTAATTTTGATTCTTAAACCCAAATCAAATATCTGTATACAATTTTGATTCTGATTTTGATTCTGAAACCGAAATCAAATATCTGTATACAATTCTGATTCTGATTTTCATTCTAAAACCTAAATCAAATATCTGTATACAATTCTGATTTTGATTCTGAAACCGAAATCAAATATCTGTATACAATTCTGATTTTGATTCTGAAACCCAAATCAAATATCTCTATACAATTTTGATTCTGATTTTGATTCTGAAACCCAAATCAAATATATGTATACAATTCTGATTTTGATTCTGAATCCTACATCAAATATCTGTATACAATTCTGATTTTGATTCTGAAACCGAAATCAAATATCTGTATACAATTCTGATTTTGATTCTGAAACCCAAATCAAATATCTGTATACAATTTTGATTCTGATTTTGATTCTGAAACCGAAATCAAATATCTGTATACAATTCTGATTTTGATTCTGAAACCCAAATCAAATATCTGTATACAATTTTGATTCTGATTTTGATTCTGAAACCCAAATCAAATATATGTATACAATTCTGATTTTGATTCTGAATCCTACATCAAATATCTGTATACAATTCCAGTCCTAATTCTGATTTTGATTCTAAAACCCAAATTAAATATTTGCAAAAATTTAATTTTGATTCTTAAACCCAAATCAAATATCTGTATACAATTTTGATTCTGATTTTGATTCTGAAACCCAAATCAAATATCTGTATACAATTTCGATTCTGATTTTGATTCTGAAACCGAAATCAAATATCTGTATACAATTCTGATTCTGATTGTCATTCTAAAACCCAAATCAAATATCTGTATACAATTCTGATTCTGATTCTGAAACCCAAATCAAATATTTGTATGCAGTTCTGATTTTGATTCTAAAATCTAACACAGTTTTGATTCTGATTCTAAAATCGAGACTTAAAATCAGAACAGAAGATTTTGAATTCGAAAATCGAAACTGTAAACAAAGAAATAAGAAAACAAACAAAAAAAAACGTCATCGATCTTGCTTCTATTTCGACAAGTGTATTGCATAATTTATAACCATTTTTCGCAACCTCAAAAGAACAAAATTACGTTTTTGCTATTACTGAAAAATGATTACAAAAGTTATACAAGCAATAATGTGTGCACGTAAGTTTATTAAGTCACAGAATGCGAACACAGGTAACTAGGAAGAGAATATTATAATAACGATTCTGAACCGGCTTCTATATCATATCACGAGAAGTCGACTTACAAGATTCAACGAAGCATAAACATGAATGACAAATTATTATTTGACAATGAATCAATTCTTCAAAGAATTCTTCAAATATATTATAAAATTTCTTATAAAATAACAAAAAAAAAAGAAAAATTACAAAACTATTAACGGCAAATTATTTAACGGTAAAGTCATTTAAATTTTCAGAATCAAATCTGAATCACATTATTATACCATCTTTTTTTTTATGAACATAACATATTTCTACACTGAATAATCAATTTTCTGAAAATTATTATGCAAAGAAGCAAAGGACTGTCATAAAAATGTATATATATAAAATAATGATTAACTATTCCTAATTATTCTCGTCACATTATACACATTTGTATAGAGAAGTTCGTCATACAGTATGAGTTTCGTGAATCGAATGACAAATATGCAAAATAAAAAATAATAATAATAAAAAAAAAAAATGACTCACCGGTGAGAAGATATATTCCTTCTTCGGTTTATAACTGATTGTATCGTTTCCATTGAATTGAAGTTCAACTTTCTCCCATGTTTGCAAATAAACGTATGGACCAATTTCTTGTAATATTGGCTTATCGCCATTATTAAGGAATTCATCGGCATTTGTTACATTATAAATATAAACATGCATTTCTGGTGTAACTGGTGGCGCTCTCCACCAATCAAATGATTTATTTCCCTCTTTTAATGAGACTTGTTTATTTATTATTAAATTTATCAAATTTGGAAATAGTGACGCCAATATTGCCGCAATTATAACTAAAAGAAGTCCAAATGCCACTGCTGCCCCTGAAATTATTAATATTTATTAATAATTATCATTAGAAATTAAAAAACAAAAATAAATAAATAATTAAAAATAAATAAAAAAATAATTTTTAAATAATAATAAAAATTTATTTTTCTTTCTCACCTTTACAGGTTTTTTTTTTCAAATATATATAAAATCAAAATGTCATTGAACAAAAAATGGTTTTTACTCTCGTTTTTTTTTTTTTTTATTTTTTTTTATTTTTGTTATTTCAAGGCTTTTGAAGTTGGACTTCAGAATAAAATTTAGTGTTTGGACATAATTTGCATAACGGGTTATTTATTTTTTTTGTAGAAAAAAAGTCATTAGATGCCATATAAGCAAAATTGTTTCTCTGCATCTTCTTATCGAGAATATATTTTTTTTTTTGTGCAAAAAATATCGTTCACTTTAATGCATTTTTATTTACTCTCTAAATTTTAAGTAGTAAAAATTTTAACTATGAATACTTTTTGCTTTTAAATTAGTTAAATTTTACTAATTCAATTGTTAACGATTTTTACGTTTAGTATTGATTAGTTAAATTTTTTACTAAAAAAAAAGTTTTTATTATTAATTAAATTTTACTAATTCAAATTATTTAAATTTTACTAATTTAAATTAGTTAAAAATTTTTACTAATTCAAATTATTTAAATTTTACTAATTTAAATTAGTTAAAAATTTTTACTAATTCAAATTATTTAAATTTTACTAATTTAAATTAGTTAAAAATTTTTACTAATTCAAATTATTTAAATTTTACTAATTTAAATTAGTTAAATTTTTTTTACTAATTCAGATTTAAAGAGTGAATATAAAAATTTAACTAATATTTTATTAAAATTTGTATCGAGGCTTTAAAATTAATTAATTTAAAAATTAATTAATGTACCATTTTTTGTTATATAATATAAAATAGAATGTACTTGTATATTATTTTTTTTCACACATTACTGTTTAAAAATTTACGCACTTGACACAATTTTTATAAATGGTTTTTGCGTTATGCTATTAACAAATGTTTTGCCATGGAGCAATGACTAGAATTCATGTTACTTTTAAAATGGACAAGATTGCGTGCATTTAAGATTTTGCAATTTAAGATGCAAACTTTAGCATAGTATTTAAATTTTAATACAAAATTGAATATAATATATAATCACATTGAAAGATTTTGATTTTTCATGCAATTTTTCATATCAAACTATTTTCATGAAAAATATTTTTGATAAAAAAAATAAATTAGCAAAAAGAAAAATAAATAAGAATAAATAAAAATAAGTAAAAAAAAGAACAATAATAATAATTATAATTTTTAAATAATAATAATAATAATAATAATAATAATAATAATAATAATAATAATAATAATAATAATAATAATAATAATAATAATAATAATAATAATAATAATAACAAAGAAAGATAATAATTTATAATAATATAAAAAATTAATAAACAAATAATTAGAAAAAAAACGCCAGTGATTCAACTTTTAGTTTACGTGAAAACAAAATATAATAAATAGTTCGGCGAACTGGATGTGTTTAATTTATAAAAAAAATCAAAAAAAAAATCACATTAAGACTTCTCAATGCCAAGGTTGCACACGTTAGAGTCAATAAATGCGTCAAAGAAGAAGTCTTCTTTAGAACAAAAAGACTACATATATATGTGTGTGTAAAACTTTTAAAGTTTCAAAATAAAATTCTGAACCATCATACACACTCTCGAAATCACAAGGACAGCAAGTCAGAATTTTTTTTTTCCTCTGACATTAAGATATATTGAAATTTAATAGGTTATAAATATTTATTTCACATCTTTGTAAATTATAACGAATATTAAATAATTTAAATATATGAATTAAAAATTTATCATTCGATCTTATTTTAAATAATAACAAAGAAGATATCGATCACTCCAAGTTGTTATTATTTAAATATAATTTAATTTAAATTAATCAGAGAGACACTTAAAGAAAAAAAAATAACAATAAAATAAATTATATATAATCAATTTTTTTCTCGATATTTTTAAATTATTTTGATGAAATAACAAAATTGCACTAAAAAAATTATTTATAATCGGTTATACTTGACTATTATGAATATCAAATAAATATTGTCAATTAAAAGGTGTATTTATTTTAAATAAAAAATTTTATTGATTCGAATAAAGTTCTATGTAATTCAAATAAAAATTATTTGGTCCAAATAAATATTTATTTAATAATAACCAACCTATTCGAATCAAATAATTTTTTTTTTGTGTTATTTCATCAAATAATAAAACTAAATTTAAAAAAAATTCTTTTTGTTCATTAAGTAATAATAATTATTAAAAAAAAAATTTTTATGTTCTCTCGTTAGACGTCAATGTCGCGACATTGGCCCTTCCTCTTCAAAGTATAAATTTAATCACTTTACTTCCGTATTTTTTACTTTCTCTACGTATAAATATATATAAGAATTATACTGATGAAAAAAAGGAAAAAAAAAAAAAGATTCACTCAACACCTTTAGTCGAAACTCATAGCATATTTATTTGCAAGCGCAGTAGACCTTGATTAAATGTATTTTATTCAGTCATAATAATAAAACCTATTCTTTCAATGGATTTTGCTCACGCAAGCGGAAGGAAAACGACATTAACTAAGATTTAGTTTATAATATTATATTACAATTATGATTGCAGTTTTTCACTTTCTTTTTATCTATTATTTTAATATCCGATTTTTCCGGAAACGAACGAAATTTATTTCATTACTTCTTTTCCTATATATATTTTTTTAATATTCTAATATCAAATTATTCAATAAAAATTTTAAAAAAATATAATTAATTAACAATAAAAATTATACAAAAATATAATTAAATTGCAAAAAAAAGAATTTATTTATTATTTAAATAAATAATTATTTTGGTAAATAATTTTAAAATAAATTCAAAAAGAGCTTCCTTTAGCTTTTTAAAACTTTTTTTTTTTTAAAAATAATAATTGCTTGACGATTTTTAATGAATTAAAATATTTTATGTGCAAAAATGGTAATGTTTTTTTTTTTTTTTTTAATTACTTATATTGAAAAATATTTTTCCAAAGAAATGTTAAAAAATATTTTTCATAATTATTATATCACATATATATATATATATATATATTTGGTAATATATAAATATTTTTTCGAAATATTTAAATATTATGCAATTATACACCTGGATTTCTTAGTATAATTCCAGTTCTGATTATTATTTGTATTACGAGAATATTACACCGTAGAATTTTTGTTATAAATAATAAATATTATTTTAATAATAAAGTTTCATAATATGATAAAGTTAAAAATTTGCAAAATGTAATATATGTATAAAGATAAAAATTTTATAACTTTAATATAATGAAATAAAAATTACATTACAGAAATAATTTTAATTTTTCTAATTAAATTTAAAAATAGAAAATAAAATTTTTTTTTTGAAAAATTTTATTCGACTCACAATTAGAATTGTAACTGTTTATATTATTATTTATTCATATTATTTTATTATTATTATTATAAATTTAAACATTATGGAAAAGCAGGGCCTTTCACCGTCATGGACTCATTTTACTTGTATAACTTGCTCCACTAACATAAGACCCTGATGGTCACTTGACTCTTGTAATTAAAAAAAACACGGTTTCCTTGGTTAAGAGCAGATTTTATTTATAAAAAAAATAAAAAAAAGATTTACTCAATACTCATTGCCAGACTTGGACACTAATATAAACTGTATATAAATGATTTTTTTATGATTTTAAATTTTTACATGCAAAATAAAAACAAAAGTTTTGATTTCAAACCATTTTCAAGACTGAAATTCAGTTATACTTCACTGAAAACTAAAACTGTGATCTAAACAATCTATTTTACCGATTGTCGATAAAACAGAATCAAATCTGTTTTACCAATTGTTTATAAAACAGAATCAAATCTGTTTTACCAATTGTTGATAAAACAGAATTAAATCTATTTTACAAAAATGTTGATAAAACAGATTTGACTATTGATTAAAAAATCAGTAAAATAATTTCCATTGATGAGAAAATATAACTGAATTTCAGTTTGAAATTTTACTGAAACAGTGAAATATTAAAAATTGTTCAAAAATGAAGATTATTTTCTAATATTCAAAAATATATATTATTTTCAATATCTTTTTTTTGGAATTTAAAAAAATATGATGGTAAAAATTAGATATTTATTTTTTATAAAATTTAGACGGATGTAACATGATAAGGGAATTTTTTTTTTTTTTCCCTTTTGGATTGAGGAACTGTGAGGCTTTTTTATACCATTTAATTGTAAATGTCAATTTTACTACTTTCACTCTTATAACATTTCTATTGAATCGCGCAAGAGAAGGAAAAGCCACTAAACGGGATACAAAACTTTAGGTGGCATGAAAATTATGCAATAATCTCAATGATGAACTAGAATTCAATGAGATTTTATTTTCACTCATATAGAATATTATATGGAATTTCTTAAATTTTAGATAAAAAAATTTCCTAAACGAAAATTAAAAGAAGACAATTTTTATAATTCATAAATAAATAAAAATTACACAATTTATTTGCAAAAATTAATCATTTAAATTATTAATTAAAATTAATTAATTACTAATATAAATAAATTAATTAAAATTAATAATAAATTGATTGAAAATGATCATTATTATATTAATGTGAAGTATTTCTGTCAACTAGAATATTAAAAAAAAAAAAAAAGCACGAGAAATTATTTCTACTCATATATAGATGATTATAATAATTTCCTGTGTATTGTATATACCATATATCTTTTCTAATTATTAATGTTTTTATCCTTGAGTAAATAACAACTCTCTTGGGGCATAATTTTTTTTAAACAGGTGAAAAATGATAATTAATTTTTTTTTCTATATTTTTACAATTATATAAAATGTTTTTTATATATATATATATATATATATATA